TTATGTTCTAAAGGTTACAATTAACCCAAATATTGACATTTTTATACAACAATTTTAGTTTACGCTGCAATTCAAAAATTACTTATTTGAAACCAAATCTGATACAATAGTTTCAGAGAAACTGTGCTGAGGTATTAATGATCCTACGTGCTCTTCCCTGCTAATAAACCTCTACCACCTCAGATTAGTAAGATTGTTGTTGTGTAATTATGTGCATTCTGAACTACACGTTACCTTTAAAAATCTTAACTCAGTTATGGCATGGAAGCAAATAGGTGGTTCCAGAATTACAATAGACGTATTGTACAAAGGTTTGCCAATATATATGAACAACAGAGATAGGATAATTGTAGGCTTACTTGCCTTTGTGATCAATAAAAACATAACCATCAAAGCGATCCCTGAACAGAACTATGTCTTCTTGGTTTTTAAAGTTGATGTATGCTCTGGAAAACATGTGAGGATACAAACTGCAGAAGGACAAAAAATGGCAATGTTTAAGAAAACGTTGCTGAGTGGTGAGTATAAATATACACAACACGGAAGGGTGTAAAAACTGAAAGACAGACGTGACATGCCATCGTTTTACGTACAACACAGTCAGCCTTCTCTTTTTACCTAGAGTCATTTGAAAAGAATTCAAAATAATCGTGCTCTGGCAGCGGCTGGAGATGTTCTTCAAGCTGTTCCTTGGTCAAGCTGGGAGGAAGGCGTCGAATCACTACCTTAAAGAAAAAGGTTTCATCCTTTACAACAGGTGAAACACCAAAGCATTTTTAAAATATAAAGAAACATTAAAGCGAGCTATCAAATAGTTTAATTAAAACCACATATTTCCTCTCCCCTATTATTCATAATAAAAATTAACTTCAGATGCCAACATGCCACTAAATAAAAATATTCATCCACAGATGTGTTTTGTTCTTCATTTTATTTGGAATAGTACTGTGGAATCCTTCCTGGATCTAATAACTTGCTCTATGTATAGTTTTTCCAAAACCTGCAATGTTGACATCAACGAAGGAGGATATTTGTAGCTCAGGGCTGAAATGAGGGGTCCTTGGTGCTCTCTGAGGTTGGTGGTTTTCCTGCAGACGTTTCATTACCCAACTAGGTAACAACATCAGTGCTAGAAATGCGGGAAAACCCTCCTCCCTTCTAGCACTGATGATGTTAGCTAGTTGGGTCATGAAACGTATGCAGGAAAAGCACCAACCTCACAGAGCACCCAGGACCCCTCAGTGTTGACCTCCTCAGCTCACTAAAAGTGGGTGGAGCTTGAAGCATCCCCATAAAGGGTTAAACCAGTTCAGACGGAAAGGAAAGGGGGGGCAAGAGGGTTGGGGCCCCTTGATCTAACCAAAGTAGAAGAATAACAGCATACTACTACTACTATCATTTTATTACTACTATCCCCATTATTACTATTACTCTATTACTACTATTACTATTATCATTTTACTATTCCCATTGCTATTACTATATTACTACTACTATTATCATTTTATTATTACTATTCCCATTATTACTATTACTATATTACTGTTACTATCATTTTATTATTACTATTCCCATTGCTATTACTATATTACTACTACTACTATCATTTTATTATTACTATTCCCATTATTACTATTACTATATTACTGTTACTATCATTTTATTATTACTATTCCCATTGCTATTACTATATTACTACTACTACTATCATTTTATTATTACTATTCCATTATTACTATTACTATATTACTACTACTATTAGTACCATCCTTTTATTACTATTCCCATTATTACTACTACTATTATTATTAAACAGGATATCATCATCATCATCATTATTATTCATCAGGACAGCAGCCATAAATCTTGAGACCTGCTAGTCTGCCAAAGGAATGTTTTTTTTTCCTAAAGTCCCCCACTCTATTCATGGACATCAGCGAGCTGGGGGTGATGGGAGTTGTAGTCCAGCGGGGGTCTGGGCGGAGGCGGCCCGAGTTCGTTTCCTCTCCCGCCCCCCCCCCCCCCGACGAACGCACCTTGCTGAGCGTCTCTTTCTTGTCTTTGGGCCTCTCGAGCCGGTCGGGCTCCCCGCCCGCCTTGGCGTCCGCTCCGGCCATGGCTGCTCCGAGCGCGGCGGGAGTGAGGGGCCCGCCGCGCTTCTCCTTCGGCCTGGCGTTCTCCTTGTCCTCCTTCATGGTGGACGCCGCCGGGAGCGGGGCAGCACGCGGGCCTCGCCGCCTCTTCGGCCGCGGGAGTCGGCCCGCTCCTCTCGCGGGAAGAGCGGAGGGGGAAGCCGAGCGAGGCCGCGACGCCACAGCGCCCTCCTCACGACCAGGGAGGCGGCGCGACTCCGCCAGGCCTCGCGTTGCCACGGCGACCAGTCCAGGGCGGCAGGGACTCCACTTCCCAGCATGCTCTGCGCCTTCAAATCTAAGGGGGAAACGAAACCCCTCCCTTGTACCAAAAGATCCCCGGCTTACAACCGGCACTGCTTATGTATAATAACTGCCCGGCCCGTTTGGAGACCTCAGCCCAAAGAATTAAAGCAGAATAGGTAAAAAAAACCGCTTCGTCTTTCCCTTAAAAAAAAAAAAAAAGGGCTCTCTCCGCCGTTCGAACGGCATTGCCACAGCAACGGCGAGCGGAAGTTTCCGGCCGCGCGGTGCATTCTGGGGGCCGGAGGCCGGGAAGGTCGGAATGCCCGGCAGGAGAGCCGTGACGCATGCGCAGTGAGCTGTCGGGCGCTCTTGCAGTTACTTCGGGGGAAGCGGTGATTCGTCGGGATGTGGTACGAAATTCTGCCCTCGGCGGCGGTTATGTACGCGGCGCTGATCATCCCGGGACTTTCCACCTTGTACATCCATCGGTATTTAAACAACGGCAAGGTGAAGGCTGTGGACGGCGCTGCGGGTGCGGGGGGGGGAACTACAAACCCCATCGCTCGACTGCAGTCCCCATCCGTCTGGGCCGGTCGGAGGGGTGCTGATGATGCCTATTTTATATATATATGTATATGTATAAAATGGCATTTTATACATATACATATATGGGACAAATGGATCCTGAGCCTGGTCGGAAGAGGAGGAAAAAGTGGGGAGATCTTTGCTTACGTTTTGCTTTAAAAAAAAAATGCAGGTTTTTTTCTTCCCCCCAAAAAGGAAGGAAAATTAAGCAAGCAAAGAGGAGAGAAATGCAGGAAAAGTCCTTGCAGGGTGAAGCCCCAAGCAAGATTTTCTTTTTTAAAAAATAATAATAATGGGGAGGCAAATATTATAATCTGGGGAATGACCAGAAGGATTGTGCAGGCACGTTTGCCCCCCCCAGCCCTGTGACCCCCTCCCCAAAAAACCCCTAGCCTCTGCCTGGAAATTACTTAGCCTAGCAGTTCTCCAACATTTTATTTTATTTATCTGTTAGGTATTTTTTTCCAATTATTAGTTTTTATCCACTGGCTTTATTGCTTTATAAGTAATTCAAAGCGGCAAACATAATATTCCTTCCACTTCTTCCTCTTTTCCCCAAAACAACCACCCTGTGAGGTGGGTTGGGCTGAGAGAGAGAGAGAGAGAGAGAGAGAGAGAGAGAGAGAGAGAGAGAGAGAGGCCCCAAATTACTCAGTTGGCTTTCATGCCTAAGGTGGAACTAGAACTCACTGTCTCCTGGTGATTGGCCCAAAGTCATCCAATTGGCTTTCATGGCCTAAGGCGGGACTAGAACTCACCATCTCCTGCTGATTGGCCCAAAGTCATCCAATTGGCTTTCATGGCCTAAGGCGGGACTAGAACTCACCATCTCCTGCTGATTGGCCCAAAGTCACCCAACCAGCTTTCATGCCTAAGGTGGAACTAGAACTCACCATCTCCTGCTGATTGGCCCAAAGTCACCCAACCGGCTTTCATGCCTAAGGCAGGACTAGAACTCACCGTCTCCTGGTGATTGGCCCAAAGTCACCCAACTGGCTTTCATGCCTAAGGCAGGACTAGAACTCACATCTCCTGGTGATTGGCCCAAAGTCACCCAGCCAACCATCATGCCTCAGGGACAAATAGAACCCACTGGCTAATCTAATCCCAGGGAAGGAAGTTCCAAAGAGTGTGTATTAATGTATTAAAAAAAAAAGATTTTTAAAAATATCTATTTGATTTCATGGATCCCCTGAAAGATCGTTGAGGATCTCCGGGGGTTCCCAGATTACACGTTGAGAATTGCAGACCGAGAATACTCAGATTACAGCTTTGGGCTGTGTTTATATCGTAGATCCAACAGTGTGCTTCTGATTTTGGGAATAACAAGAGAGTGAACCACAATATGTGGCATTTAATGTCTCTTCACAGCAATTTTGCCTTCCCTCCGACCTTGTTGTTTTTAATTCTCTTTATCTCTTTCTTCTCCCATCCCCATTGTTCTCCACATGACTCCTGCCTTATTTCCTCTGTGCTTAGACTAAAAAAATGATAAAGACGATAAACGACTATAAGGCCTTGCAAAGAGAAAAGCGGCTCTGTGGAACCGGACCGAAGGTTAGTTTGAAGGAATCTTCTCTGGGTAAAGCAACCCGATTGCAAATTCAGGGTATCATCTTTGTAAAAATGGGTAAATCCTGGAAGAGCTCATATCTGCCCCCTGTCTTTTTTTTGGGGGGGGGGGGGGCTTTTAAAAAAACTTATCGTTAGACCCAGAATTCAAAGTTATGACTCCCTTGCAAGGAATTGTGTGATCCTACACCTGCAGATATCCCCTGTGTTAGCAGCAAGGCCAATAATAAACTCTTATTATTATTATTATTTTGAGTTGTAATCCTAAAACGGCTCCTGAGCATAAAAGTTTGACGATTTGCAATAATTCAGGAAACAATTTTCCTGAAGGGATTATGGAGTGAGATAACTCAGTCTAATAAACCCGAGAGCATCATTTCGTTTGATTGTGACATAGACGCCTCTGACTTTGTTTTCTTGTCTTTTTATTTTTCAGGGTTTGGAGAACATTGACTGAAGCCATAACGTGATACCCTTATTTCATAAAAGCCTTTAGCATAAATAAAACAAAACTGAAAACAAGTGTGCAATGAATGTGTTACAAACCTGGGAGCAGAAAAATAGGATTCAAAGCAAGGCTGCTCTAAGGCAGGGGTCTTCAAACTTGGCCCTATTATGACTTGTGGACTTCAACTCCCAGAATTCCTCAGACCTCATAATACAATTGCTTTGGGTTAGGCCTTTTTAAAAACAATTATATAAGCAAAATCAGCAGCAGCAAGCAGGCAAATCCTGTAGCAGCGGGAAATTGTCTCCCAGGTGCTTCCGCTCCACATGTGGCTTGAGGATCTGCAGTGAGGGAAAGACAGTTAATCTTGCAGGAACGCCTGGCGTGCAGAAGGAGCCTGTGGCTTCAGAGAGGGAATCTGGTGATACTCACTTCTCCAGATCACTTTGGATTTCACTTGGGTCCAATAGATGTCGTGTGATTGGGCAACAGTTGCCCTGATTTAGCAAGAAAAGAAATAATTGCAGTTAGAATTTCTGAAGACCTTCGAATAAGGCTGAGAATCTCCCATTGTGTTAAATCCTGTGTTTCTTAACTTGGGCCATTTTAAGATGTGTGGACTTCGCCTCCCAGAATTCCCCAGCCAGCCATTTTCCAGGAATTATAGCTCCTTGGCTCACCCGAAATGATCTCCATTCTCATGAAACAACCAATCCATTTAAAGAAAAACAGCCACAGTTCGAAGCACATATAATACTTACACAAAGATAACTACACGGGGACAGTGCGAGGGAGGTGGAAGCCAGGAGTAGATCTGACTCATTTTTAAATTGGTGTTGGAATGAGTAATGGCCCCTTGAGGATTTCCAGAGCACTGCCAAATAAATAAATAAATAAGGACCAAAGCTACTTCAAGTTAATTCTGTTTAAAACAGAATTACTTGTCTTTTTACAACAGCCTTGCTATTTTTTCGTCTCAGTTTTGTGTCTTCGCACAGCATAACTGAAATGCAATGTGCACAATCTTAAGACTTCAAGTCCTATGGAAGTGATTATCTAAAACATTTTGCTTCAATATGCCTTTCTGAATACAACACCCATGAAGTGGAAGCCGTGGTTTGCTCACCCTAGAATTGGGATCTTCCAAGAACGTGCTGACCTGAAGTTAAACGAGCAACATGCAGGCCCAGCGTAACGTGAGAAAGTGAGCTACGATTTGTATAGTTCGTGCTACACAATTTTGGGGTGTGGGTTTATGTGGATAATAGCAATAGCTCTTGGACTCATATACTCCCCATAGTGCTTTACAGCCCTCTCTATGCAGTTTACAGAGTCAGCCTCCCAACTATCTGGATCATCATTTTACTGACCTCAGAAGGATGGAATTTGTGGCTACTCCAACACTGGGAGTTTTTAAGAAGAGATTGGACAACCGTTTGTCTGAAATGGTATAGGTTTTCCTGGTTGAGCAGAGGGTTGGACTAGAAGACCTCCAAGGTCCCTCCTAACTCTTGTTATTCTGAGTCAACCTTGAACTGATCAGGATCAAACTCTCAGCAGTGGACAGAGCCTGCAATATTGCATTCTAACCACTGCGCCACTACAGGTAAAGGTGAGTTCAAACAGACCTGGGGATATTATGTCACTCGCTGTTTGCTTGCAAGCAAGAACTGGTGGACCACAAACTAGACAAGTCACAGGCCACAGAGATACGGAAGCGCTCTGGGACTTCAAACGGACAAGTATGTGACACATCACCCTCCAGACCTGACTATTTGTGCTTACCTGTAAAAATCTGGTATTGTTTGGGGGGCTTTGCCAAAATCCCACGGCTGCAGCAGACTGAAATGAGCGCACCTCCAACAACAATCCTTGATAAGCAGGTCCACGGATCTGAACTGGAGAGAACAAACTTTCTTTTCAGCTCCTGTAAACCAGCAAACCTTGTTTTCCAAGCATTATATATATAAAAAAAACCCTTCCAAGTGTATGTATTGTGTGGAGAATTAACGGCTTAACCACGGGTTAATGAATAAACCAAAGTTGGCTGGATTCACCCACTTTGCTAAGCATTTAGCTATGAAATTCAAAAGTGGGTCCACACAATCCACTTATCAAAACTATCCAAAATGGGCTTTGGATGATCAGGACAACTGCTGACTTCAATGATACACACATTAGGAGTTTTTTTGAGCAACAATGTGGAAGTAGATTATTATCTTTATTTCCTGGAACTTATCCACTTCTCCTTGCCTACAATCCTGACATTTCTTGATGACCTCGCATCAAGGGTTTCTGAGTTTGCCCAAAATTTGGCTACTGCTGATTTTTGCTAACCTAAAAACCCACTGATTTTTGATCCTGAGAAAATATAAGCACTTATTAATTATACTTGGAAAAGAGGAGAGAGAAAGAAAAGAAAGATTTGTGTGTGTGTGTGGGGGGGGGTGTAGCAGCTTTAACAGTATCTTCCTTTCAATTGAAATAAACAAAATACAAACTTACCATTAACCCGCTGCCCATTTTGGAAGGAAGGTGTACTAACCAAAACTTCATAAGGACTAGGAACCGTTTGAGGTTGTACCCCAGTATGGACAGGCAACATGCTCTCGCAGGCAGATTCAGGGGCTCCATCTGGAAAGGCCTGATTTGAGCCAAGTATGGTCCAGAAAGCAATAACGGTACTGAAAAAGCAATTCCCACAAGCCATGTGTAGAAAAAAGACTTGCTCGCTCAATCTCTGTCTACAAAAGCAAGTATGGATTTTCCTAGCTCAGAAATAAGGCTTTAAAAGAGGGGGGGGGAGTGTTTTTGGAGAGTCATTACTCCAGAACAGATTCATTTTCTACCCCTGAGGGACTGGAAACTCACATGCCTCTGCTGAGGAGACCTCTGAGGAAAGGAAGAAAGAATCTTTTTTTAAAAAATCAGCCTAGAAAGCCAATCGGTGCAAAACAAATTTTAAGCTTGGAAATTGATTAAACCTGAAGTTGGATTTCCTGTCAGATGAGGTGGGGGAGGGAGAGATGGAAGAGAAGGATAATGGTATCCTAAAGATGCTTTTTTCACGAGGCAACTGGACTCTCTTGTTTTTCTTTGAAGACGTTTCGCTTCTCATCCAAGAAGCATCTTCAGCTCTGACTGGAGGGTGGAGAGTGGCTGAGCTGAAGAAGCTTCTGCGACGAGAAGAGAAACATCTTCAAAGAAAAACAAGAAAGTCCAGTTGCCTCGTGAAAAAAGCGTCTTTGGGATAACTATGATCTGGATGACTGAGAATCTTCGTAGGTAATAGTGGTAAATGAGCATTTTTGTGGCTGTCCTATTCAGTGCGACTCAGGGCAACGGACAACAAAACAGTCAACGAAAAAGCCTACAGAATTAAACAAACACCAATAAAATGTCCAAAGCACTACATTTAATTGACATAACCTCTCTTGGTAGCATTCATCTCTTACCCTCACGTGGTGGAACATTCCCATGTGCCTGATCCCGCCCCAAAGGGCTCCTGCTCGTTTAGCACTTTTCCTTTAAGCCTGGTGGAATGTCTGAACATCAATGCCACGGAATTATTGGCTGGACGTTGTGGGTTGCCTGAGTGATGCTTGTGAGCAAACACTTTGCAAGTCTGCAGCCGGAAGCTTGATCAACCTTGGAAACTTGCATTTTATTTCCCTAGAGCAAAGAAGGTTGGTTTTGTCACAAGATCAAAGCAGCCAGAAAGTGCTTTTTTTTTTTTTTTTTTAAGCAGGTAGCCAAATTCCAACTTGGCCGGGTGACAGATTAATTGGATGCTCCTGAGTTGTTTCTTCCAAACAATGGCTTGCTTTTCATAGCAGTGGAGCAAGCAGGAAATAGGGAGGTCAAAGAACACAACATTTGTGCGTTGTTGCATTTTCCTTGCACACATGACTATTTCTTAAGGACAATGCAAAAGGTGGCCATGTATTGCAAGATGGAAGGTGGAAATAAGCAAGGGATGGGGATTTTTTTTTTTTTGCAGGGCTGCTATCATGCAGGAAGTATGCAAGAGTGATACAAGGCATGGTTTGTATGCAAAATGGAAGGGACCTTGGAGGTCTTCTAGTCCAACTCTCTGCTCATGCCGGAAACTCTATACCATTTCAGACAAATGGCTGTCCAATTTCTTCTTAAAAGCCTGCAGTGATGGAGCACCCACAACTTTTGGAGGCAGGTTGTTCCACTGGTTAATTGTTCTTGCTGTCAGGAAGTTTCTCCTTAGTTCTAGGTTGCTTCTCTCTTTGGTTAGTTTCCATCCATTGCTTCTTGTCCGGCCTTCCGGTGCTTTGGAGAACAGCTTGACTCCGTCTTCTTTGTGGCAACCCCCGAGATTTTAGAACACTGCTATCATGTCACTCCAAGCCCTTCTTTTCATGAAACTAGACATAGCCAATTCTTGCAATGGTTTTTATGTTTTAGCCCCCCAAACGTTTGGTGTTTAGTTCTTGGCATCTTCTGATAGGAGAACAAGGGCCTGCTTCAAACAATGGGAAGGTATGGAAGATTACCTTTGTGACCTGCAGGAACCGTGGTGGCGCAGGGGTTAGAATGCAGTATTGCAGGCTAATTCTGCCGACTGTCAGGAGTTCGACTCTGACCGGCTCAAGGTTGACTCAGCTTTCCATCCTTCCGAGGTCGGTCAAATGAGGACCCAGGTTGTTTGGGGGCAAGATATTGGCTCTGTAAACCACTTACAGAGGGCTGTAAAGCAGCATGAAGTGGTATACAAGTCTAAGTGCTATTGCTATCTTTCCCATAATCAGGAAGAATTAGACCAATGATGGTTTACCATTAGCTGAGTTAGCTTTCCACAGCAAAAAGGTCAGAAAGTCTTCTGTTACCTTACAAAGTGGCAGATGTATCATTCCCTAAGCTTTCATGATTGTTGTGAAGTAACAGTACATTAGAGTTGAATCAGGCACAGGGGTCGAGGATTTGCCTACAACCCAGATATAACCTTTCCCCAGATTGTTTCTTTAGATTCTACCCATTTTTCCCCCCCATCTTCTACAAGCGGAAGACATAAAGGACCATGTCGTTGGAGGAGAAATATATAGCAGTTATGGAAGAGGAGGAAGAGGAGAAGGAGGAGGAGGAAGACATCCAGGAGGCAGCAGCCTTGGTTGTTAGTGGGGTGATTAAAGATGCTGTGGACAGAATTAAAGCTCTGAAGAAGGAAGAGGCAGGTACTCCAGTGTGGAAGAGAAGCTACCAGGCCACTGGTGTCCAAGTTAAATCAGGCTCTAATCTGTACTCTTCTCATCAACTTCAGGTGCCAAATACAAAATACCAAATATTGCTTGGATGAGGTGCAAGGATTTCTCCATCGGAAGAGGCCTGCTGCAGATTGAGGACTATATGAAGGTAAGTGTCATGGTCAGTGTTCCTTGGCATCTTGGGTGCAAGGCAGTGTGACGCATGGCTGGGAGGGTCAACTAGGCTTAGACCAGGGGTCTCCAACCTCGGCCACTTGATGACTTGTTTTTAAGAAGAGACTGGACAGCCATTTGTCTGAAATAGTATAGGCAGTGATGGGGAACCTTTTAGTGACCGAGTGCCCAAACTGCAACCCAAAACCCACTTATGCATCGTCGAGTGCCGGGTAGGCGTGGCCAATTGGGTGGGTGTAGCCCATTAGGTGGGCGTGGCTGCGGTGGGAACGGCAGACTGGGTGGGACTAAAAAGTTCAATCAATTCCAACTTTGCAAGATTTTTTTTTTCTCTGCAAGAAGTTGAAATTGGCTGATTGAACCTTTTTTTTTTTTGCCCACGGAAGCAAAAAGGTTTTATAAAACCCAGCGGAAGGCCTAGGACTGGGCGACGGTGCGCATGCCCACAGAGAGGGCTCTGAGTGCCACCTCTGGCACCTGTGCCATAGGTTCGCCACCACTGGTATAGGGTTTCTTGCTGGAGCAGTGGGTTGGGCTAGAGGACCTCCGAGATCCCTTCCGTTATCCTGTTAAAGGCTACTTGCAAATTCCAGAATAGTAAAACAAAGTAAAACGTAGCAGGCTTTTTTCAAATAGGTGCTTGTAACGGGACTGTGTATTCATCCTTGCAGACATGGGAACTTCATGAAAGTTGGCTACACTGGAGCAATTATCTCAACAACGAGGAACTCCGGTACAGCACCAGGTATTATTACCGAGTCCGTTGGAGCATCCCGACATGCAGGAAGCCCATCCCTCGAGCAACAGCGTGTGTCTATTTCGCCATTGAGATTTCCAAAATCAAGCCCAGAGTGAGTATTTTGAGGTCCTTTGGGAGACAATTAAGCCCAATCACGTTAAGGATGCTCTTTAGAGTTCTCTAAAATCCATGATCTGTGGGGGGTCCTAGGTTCCACCATGACTACTCCCACCAACACGGACAGAGCAAGCTGCTAGGATAGAAACGGAGACCAAACCCCACGCCCTTCTAGGGCTGATGATATTACCTAGTTTGGTAATGAAACGTCTGCAAGAAAACCCTGAACTACAAATATTCTCTTTGAGCATCAGTCCATGATCTGTTGTTATCAGCCGCTTTTAAGAATCTGATCACACCCAGAGAAGGGGAACTACTGGCCCTCTGAACTGTCCTTGACTTACAACCAATCATTTAGTGACTGTAAGAAGTTAAACTAGCACAGAAAAATGTGACTTATGATTGATCCTTACACTGATGTCCGCTGCAACATCACGGCGGCCGTGATCTAAATTTGGGAGCTTGGCAACCAACAGTTATTTGTGATAGTTAGCCATCTGTGACCTTCCTAGCTGACAAGAAGGAAATGCATGCTATTAATTTTAGGTATAACTAATATACATAAATTACCATGTTTCCACAAAAGTAAGACTGGATCTTATATTAATTTTTTCTCCAAAAGATGCATTAGGACTTATTTTCCAGTTAGAGCTTATATTCAGTCCTAAATGTCTCGCGTCTGGCTGACCACCTTAACTTGGGCTTATTTTGGGGGTGGGGCTTATATTACAAGCATCCTGAAAAATCATACTAGGGCTTATTATTTTGGTTGGGTCTTATTTTGGGGGGAAACACGGTATAATAGCTATAGTGGTGGCATCTTGAAGACTTAGCCATTTATACATTTATGCATCCTCTCGCTTAGCTGCCCATTCATACAAAACCCATTTGAGTAGCTCAACGTGACAACTTGGAAGAAACCAGAAACTGTAAAAATTTAGAAAACAGGAAGCACGGAAAAATGGATACAAGAGTTGTAATTTAATGGAATTCCATCCGGGATTCCTGTTAGAAGTTGAATATTATTGTTAGGTTCAATTCTTGGGAGTACTTGCTGTCTTTTTTTTTTTTCCTGGAATGCCTCTACTTTCATGAGAACCGTCAAGTAGGCCACTGTCATGCATAAAACTAACTATTGGTTTTCTATCCGATACAGACGCTGCCAATTGACGTGTTTTTCGTGGTGGAAACCAATAAGCTCATTCACAGGTACTTTCCCATCCCTCCATCAACTGGTTTGCACGTCTGGGCTCCCACATTGCCATAAGAGCTATTTGTATTAGCTAACCTTTGGGATAAAATATGAAAAAATGTGAGTGTAAAATGCTCAGGCTGTTTTTCTATTTGCAGGCCGGGAAAAACTCGCTTTAAGGAAAAGTGGCTCAAAGATGTCATTGAAAGTAAGATTGTCATGATGGAGACTGTGGATTTTTAGTTCTGCTGGAATGGTTAGAAATTAAAATCTCTTTTAAGACACCCCGCTTTTATGTCTTGGGCAATAAAATCCACGGCTTGCTGTAAACAGACCCTTGTTTTGATCTCTCTGTGCAATTCATATCAAGGAAGTACAGAAAGAAAAACTTTAACCAAATTGTCTATGGAGATTCTCAGTCATCCAGGTCATGGTAGTCCCAAAGGTGCTTTTTGAAAAGGCAAGTGGACTTGGTTTTTCCTTGAAGATGTTTCGCTTCTCATCCAAGAAGCTTCTTCAGTTCAGAACTGAAGAAGCTTCTTGGATGAGAAGCGAACCATCTTCAAGCAAAAACAAAGTCCACTTGCCTTTTCAAAAAGCATTTTGGAGTTTAACCAAACTGCACACATAAAGCAGTTTTAAGGCCCTTAAATCGGACATTTGCAACAAAAGATGGGAGAGATTATACCCGCCGAGTGTCTTTATTTAATGCAACATAAATACATGGACTTTTCCAAACCGGAGCCCTTCCTAAGGTGTGAGAAGGCAAGTCTCAAAATTCCAACTAATGTGGGTAAAAGCGAGAAGAGAGGCTGATCTACAAAAGGCTGATCTACAAAAGCCAAGATCGCAATCCTTTTTGAGGTTTTTCTTTATGCAGGTCTCAAGAATATTGGACTTTGATTCAAGAGCAGTCTGTGGGTTCTCTATCTCAAATGTATTAAATCAATTGGACTGCATTTGGGGAACTGCAAAAGGGTGGTGGAGGTGGGGTTATTTCTGCTTCTGCTCGAAGGTATTTCAAAGAATGACCTGGAATGACTTCAAAGACTTGAGAGTCACTGCAGTTCAGAAGTTTGAGAAGTCTGACAAAACCCCTGTTCGAATCCACCTCTAGGTTTATGGAAAGTCAGAGGGTGACCTTGTCCTTCTCTTGGTCTGGATCTGCCTCTCGTGGCTATTGAGAGGATAGGTGGGCTCTGTACATAACCTTGAGCTCCAAGAAAAGATGGATAGACATCTACTGAACAAATAAGAAACGGGCAAATCTCAAAAAGCAACACACAGCCAACTATACATAGGAGGATGTTTAATTTTAAAAATGCAGTTTTTGAGTGGTGTACCATACTGGAACTGTGCCAAAAAAAAGAAAAGAAAAGAAAGAAAGAACGTCCAGAATGCATTCAGTAAAAGCTGTCCTTGATACTGGGGTGTATTTACATTGGGATTTCTTTTCTCCTAGTTTCAAAATGTGGCTCCAGATATGCTTCTAAAGTTTATGGTGCACTCAAAATTTTAAAAAGGGAACAGAAACTCAATCCCCCCTCCCCAGTAGATGGCAGTTGGCACGTGGACTATGAATTCCAATCCACATATTTTATTTAGGCTGTAGAAGAAGCCATTGAAGAAAATAAAGGGTTAAAAAAAACTTATTCAGATGGATATTTATCTCCTCTGCGTTGCTAAAAAAAACTATTTACACTTAATCGAGCGAGAAATATATTGATGATCCTCAAAGCATTGTCTTTTGCAAAATTATGAGAGCTGGACTTTAACACAGTACTAAATCTGCAAAGAATCTCAAAATGACAAATTTACTGATCCTATTTACAAGGCATCTGCAGGAGACGACCCACGCTTGACAATCTGAGCCACAAAACGAGATCCACTCATATTTGTGTGTCTGTTCGAGGCAGGAAGATTATAAAGGCAACCGTCAACATTAAAGCTATTTCTGCCTTTTAGGTGCACAGCGTTAGGCCCAGGGTATGTTCTGGCCATTTTTCACAAAATACACTCATCCTACAAGAGATCTTCTTGTTCCGTTCAGGGCTTAAAATTTTCTTCTTGTCAAAGTTGATAGAAAACAGTCTTCGCTGAACCCCTATTGATGGAAGTTTTTGCTTCAACTGATTTTTTTTTAAAAAAGTGCTATTTTCTCAAACACAAAGAAGCAACAGTATCCCAGTAGGTTTTTGGCATTATGGTGGTGCTGACTGGCCTGCTTTGCTTAACCTGCCTTGGGTTGCAAGTTGGAAAGACCCTGCAAGTTAGTTCCAAGGCCTCACCAGGCCAATTAGGGTTCTTGGCTGGCTATCTATGGACTGTTTCCCCCAAAATTTCCCGTGGCACAAGCCAGTGTCAGGACCCACCCGTCTGCCCGTCACTCGGGAGGATACGTCGTTCATTTCTCATCTTTGCCCTTCGTTTTTCGGTAGACCATTTCCCGGAAGCTGGCTAGGATCTTGTTTTCTCTCTTTCGCCTTTCTTCCTGGTTGAACGAAGCCAGGGCTCTCTTCTCGTCCGCGCTGTAGATCTGGTTCTCTTTCCGCAGACGCACCGCTTCCATTCGCCGATGCCTAACGAGAGTGACGGTGGCCGTCAACGAACTATCAACACTCAAGGCATCGACTGGCAACAGAATATTTTCATTTCAGCCCTTTCCATTCACCTCCATCCCCTTACCGGCGTACGGGAACTGTTAAGAATGGTGTGGGAAGTCCCACCTAGAGCAGAGTTCATCAACCTTGGCAATTTTGAGATGGATGGACTTCAACTCCCAGAATTCACGGACCGGTTGTTGCCAAGGTTGAGAAACACTGAGACAGAGTAAAAAGAGCTCAAATTCCTGAGTGGCGTGTCCCTGCCAAACCACGATTTTGGATTGGAGAGAAACAATGGAATTAAACAGATGAGAGTATAATCGAGATTAGTTTGGATTCAGTAGTCTTCATTATAACCAGGTATAAATTTAAGCACGATCCAATCTATTCTTTGTTCTGAGATTGCCCTAGTACTTTGGGGGGGTGTGTGTGGGGGCAATCGAAACCAAGGCCGTCCCTTGTCCTTTGCAGTATTTTTAACCGGGTCCCTTACCTGCTGCCACTCATAACATAGCCAGATTTCTCAAAGGAAGCAATTTCTTCACTGGTAAGGCCTATTTCGCCTCTCCTGGGAATCCGCTTGCCCGCCTTTACGTACTCGGCCATGGCAGCCCCTTCACCGGGCAGCAAAGCGTGACCGTAGCTTCAGGGGAGAAAGAGAATGCCAATGTAAACCACAGCAACTACACACACACACACACACAAAGGATCACTCTCCCCACCCCCTAAGCCTGGTGTTGCAGCTAGGCTTCTTGCGTGCTGTACATCAGTGGCCCCCAATCTTTTGGGCAGTAGGGACTGGTTCCATGGAGAGAGGTTTTCCCGCAGACTGGAGGGGGGCTGATTTCACGTGATGCCTGCATCCCACGGATGGGGCTTTGCTTGTTTGAGCGGCCTGGTTCCTGGCGTGCCGCGGACCGGTGCCGGCCCATGGACCTGGGGTCGGGGACCCCGTTGTACCTAATCTTTACCTACAACAATTCTCCCTCCTAGCCTATTATCAGCCTCGCAGAACAGCACTTACTTCAAAGGGCGCTCGTCCTGAGACGCGTGAGTGATGGGAGCTTCTGGGCCAATAAAATCCACGGCGTCTGTATTTTCTGCAATAGGTGGGAGAGAGAAAAAACCCAAACCCGTGAAGACGGAGGCAGTCCAGGCAGTCCTTGACGTACGACCGCCACCGAGCCCAACATTTCTGTTGTTAAGTGAGGCAGTGGCTTAATGAATAGTGTCCCGTTTTTAGGACTTTTCTTGCCACAGTTGTTAAACGAAACACCGCAGCTGGTAAGCTAGCAATCCAGATGTTAAGCCAGTTTGGCTTCCCCCATTGACTTTGCTCGTTGGAAGGTCGCAAAAAGGGGATCGAATGAACCCGGGACACTGCGACCGTCGTAAATATGAACCGTGTTCAGCAGGTCAGCGGTTCAAATCTCACCGGCTCAAGGTTGACTCAGCCTTCCATCCTTCCGGGGTAGGGAAAATGAGGACCCAGATTGTTGGGGACAATGTAAATATATATATATATATATACATTGCTTACTGGTGTACACTGCTTAGAGCAGTGTTTCTCAACCTTGACAATTTTAAGGCATGTGGACTTCAACTCCCAGAATTCCACAGCCAGCATTGCTGGCTGTGGAATTCTGGGAGTTGAAGTCCACATGCCTTAAAATTGTCAAGGTTGAGAAACACTGGCTTAGAGAGTGCTTGCACTTAAAGCGATATATAAGTCTCATAAATAAATACATAAATAAATAAACAAACCGTTGGTCAAGGGTCTGAATTTGGATCACGTGATTTTGGGGCATGCTGCAACGGCCGTTAAGTGTGAAAAACGGCCACAAGTCTCTTTTTTTTTCCAGTACCCTCGTGACTTCAAATGGTCACTAAATTCATGGCTGTAAGTCAGGGATCGCCTGTATACATCATTAATCAACAATAACGATAAAGCCCATTGGATGAGACAAAACATAAACAACACAAGCCAGACTGGAAAAAAGAAGGATAGAAACACTGTAAAAATATATTTAAAGCAGCTAGCAATCTCCCAACGAAATGGGTTTTAAAACAGTCCCCAACCTGGGTGCCTTGGCAGCCTGGCTGGGGGGGCAGGGAGGAAAGAGGGGAACTGGGCCCTGTGAGTGATGGGCAGCTTGACTGGTGCGAAAGGCAGGCCAGTGCACACATACAACTCAACTTCCACAAACTGAGCTATGCGGGCTTGTGTGGCCCAGTTCCAAATTGGCCATGGCCCCATAGTGGGCTGCAGCCCAGGGGTTGAGGACCCATTTTAAAATATTCGGAGCTGAGTGCCTCTCTCTTAACCAAAGGGGTGCACTTCCCTTGAGTTAGCCTGCCCTCAGTGCTAACCACCTACTTGATCTCTCAATCCACAGCTCCTCTCCACACTCAGCTCTCTCGTCCGAATCTTCGCTGCTCGAGTCACTGGAATCCTTCCTGCTCCTCTTATTCTTCTTTTTCTTGCTCTTTTTCCTAGTCATTGAGAGAGAGAGAGACCGGGGGTGAAGGGGAATGAGTGAGGGCAGAAGAAAGGAGTTAGGAAATGATACAGGCGGTGCTCAAAATTTGCAGATTCAGATTCTGCTTTTGTAGGAGCGAACTGTGCACGTGTAAATTTGAACCCTAATGAAAAAAAAGCTTTTATTTTTCTCTTAACTTTTTAACCCTGCATTTTAACCTACTTTTAACCCTATTTTTAACCCTATTTTTAAATCTGTTGTAACCCTTGTTTGACTTTTTATAATAGTCAAAGACTTTTTATAAAGGATATATACTGGAGAGGCTACCGTTGTTTTACCTACATTTTAACAACTCTACAAGCCAGGAGTACCAAGAATGGGGAAAAGGAGAAAGAGACGGCATGTTCACTTGGCAGCACAGACTTCTTCCAAGCCACTGAAGCAGCAGAAAATGGAAGATTTCGCTGCAAATAGGCAGCCTGCTCCAGTAAGAGAGAGACCAGACAAATTTGGAGAGCCAGTGTCAGGGAGAGAAAAACCAAGGGCTACAAACAAGAATAAAGTACTGTGGTTACAGCATCGTCTGCAAATGGGCAACGGTAAGTTAGAATCTCAAGCTTTTTTTTTCTTTCTAGCTGATATGAATATGGTCTTATGTTTTATTCGTTTATATAGAATGGCGCTTTTCAAGCTTGGCCTTTTTTTTTAAGCTGGATGGACTTCCAACATGATGGGTGGGGAATTGAGGGGTGTAAACCCACACATTTTGAAAGGCGTCAAATTTGAAAAATGGAACTAAATACTTTATTTGGCCAAGTGTGATTAGACACACAAGGAATTGGTACCAATATAAAAATACCAATATAGAACAAATAATGTGGCATGCAGCCCAAACAAAACCCAGGGAATTCCACGTGATTCCTCTCTTTTGCAATCTTATAATTGTGCAGCCCTGGAGATATCTGGAAGTAAATCACCCCGATACTTAAAAGGAATTTAACCTCAGGGATTAGGCTGAAGCAACAGACCATATCCACTTTCTACAGCATTTCCCAAAATATTAACAGCTGATATTAACAATTTCAAGAACGGAAAGAATTCAAGAACTGGAGGGAATAATTTGAAATCACACCAGGAGTCAAGAAAGGAAGGAAAACCAATTTAAAGAAGTGAGCAACAATAACAAAATCTGAAAGTCAACCAGCGTTTTAGGAGTTATCTCGTCAACAAGACAGGTTTTGGCTTGTACTTTGGCAGTTAAAGGAAGAATGATATAATATTACAGGAAGTAGGCAGATTATTTTAAAAAGAGTTCTTACTTTCTACGCTTCTTTCTCTTCTTCTTGGCTCTTTTTTTCTCCTCCTCACCTGAAGTATTAAGTAGAAAAAAAAGGGGGATAAGAAGGAAACCTCAAAACCTGATTATGTTTCCAAGAGATAAAAACTAGCAAACAGGAGTAACTAGACTATGGAGACTGAATCAAAAAGATTTAAGATGCAAATCTCTAATTCTGTTGCGAGTCTTTAACTGATACTTACGTGCTGCAGCCTTTTTCTTCTTTTTTTTTTTCTTCCTTTTCTTCTCTTCCTCTAAAAAAAAATATTTGAAATGTATGTGTTTTACAATCAGAGAAACAATTCATTCTAATATGTCGATGAAGATTCTTAGCCATCCAGACAGAACTCTCTGGAAGTTGGATTTATTTTTTAATAAATAAATACATAAATCCAGTTGCCATGACTCAACTTCCAAACAATTCATTCTAGTTGTCCTTCCTCCTGAAATATGATCCACCGGTTCCAGAGGTGCAAGACATAGTTTACAGGCAGTCCTCAACTTACGACCGTAACTGAGCCATTTTGAGCCGTTTCTTAAGTGGCTTTTGCCCCATTTTGCAGCCTTTTTGCCATAATTGTTAAGTGAATCCGGCTTCCTCATTGACTTTGCTTGTCAGGAGGTCACAAAACAAGATCACATAACCCTGGGTCACTGTGACCATCATAAATGTGAGTCAGTTGCCAAGCGTCTCAGTTTTGATTATCTGACCACGGAGATGCTGCAACTGTCGTATGAAAAACGGTCATAAGTGACTTTTCTCAGTGCTGTTGTAACTTTCAACAGTCACTAAACGGACTGTTGTAAGTCGAGGACTGCCTGTAAGTACCTCTTTTTTTAAAAAAAACCTTTATTTCAGAGCAATATAGGGGAACAGATTATTGCCGCAAAAAGCAATAACGTCACGTTGAAACCACATCTATAGTTTTAAGAGAACACATATTGTTCCTGAGTTAAGAAATAGTGATCTGGAATTATTTTGGAGAATTGCAAAAGTGCCATTTACAAATCGAAAGTAAAATGAGTTTCCCACAGATATGACAGACGTAGTCAAGCTTCAGCTTAAACACATCGGAGTACCTTCTGAGCTAGATTCGGAGGAGCTGCTTTTTTTAGATGATCCTTCTTCGTCTTCTGCGGGAGTATGTTCGTCAGAGCTAGATTTAAAGGCAGAAGATAAGTCTTAAGATTTATGAACTGAAGTGCCCAAGATGAAATACAAATGTAACTTAAATTAAAATACAAGTTTTACTCTGGCTCAGGAAGTTTCGGTGAGAGTCCCCAGACTTCAGGTGCTCCTAGTTCGCCTATTCGTTCTCTTTCATTTAGTCGTCTGTAAAAAAAAATATTTTTTTAATAATCAGAACTGCAGGAAAATGAAATCATCTCCAACTAATAAAATGAGAGCAAAACCCTCCCCCTTCTAGCACTGATGATGTTGCCTAGTTGGGCAATGAAACATCTGCAAGAAAACCTCCAGGCTCAAAGAGCATCAAGGACCCCTCAATAATATTATTAGCCCCTCCATGATTTTCCATGTCATGGGTATTATTATTATTAATAGTAGTAGTAGTAGTAGTAGCAGCAGCAGCAGTAGTAGTGATAGAGTCCTTGTTTAGGAGTTGAACTGTTTCCAGTCACAGACTGTTGGCAGGCCCAGAGGAAGAGAGAGAGGCTTTTGGAAGAGTTTACAGCGTGCTCCAGGGGCAAAAAGAAGCAAGTCCTCTTTAAGGATCAGAAAAAGGAAAGGATCAGAAAAAGGAAAGAAGGCGAGATTGTGGTGCAGGAATACAAGCTAATTTGAGGGCTAATCCACATAGAGCTCCATTTCCATCTGTCCTGTTTGCCATCGTTGGCTCCCTAGAGACTAAAATGGATGCTCTGAAACTTGAGCTGGCCACAAACAAGGAGTGTATATCGGAGGCGGTGACCCTTTGAGAGCTGTATGCAACGAAATTTCATTTTGATGTATGCTGATTGGTGTACATTCAAAGTGACAATAAAGTTGTTATTATTATATCAAATTGATTAAATCAATAACACCAACAACAATAATGACTCCATAGGTAGACAAAAATGCCAAATCCAGTCTGAACATCTGGCTGACTGGGCGAGGATCAATAATAACAATAAGTAGTACTTGGTTAAAACTTTAACTGTGAAAAAAAACGTTTTTACCAGTCCCAGTGAATTGAATTGAATGTTAAAATAAATAATAAAAATAAATCATGAATAATAAATAATATATGATATAACATAAGCAGCAGCAGGAGTAAAGGGAAATACAGGAGGACCCAAAGGCCAAAGCCAGACTAAACATCTGGCTGGCAGCGAGACCGACCATAGCAACAATAACGGTTCTTAACCCCACGAAGCCGGCCCAGAGCCGAGCCCGACCACCCCGCGGCCGCCACTCGCCTCTGCCGCAGCGACTCCTCCTGCTCCTTGCCGTAGTGCTCCGGGTCGTGCCGGTAACCGAAGTGATGCGGGCGCCCCAGCCGCTGCCGGAAGCCGTTGCGCTCCCGAGAGCGAGACCGGCGGCTGCGGCTGTGCCGGGATGGGGAAGGACTAGCCGAGCCGTTGTCTCGTCCCCGACGGGAGCCCGGGGAGTCCACGGGGCTCCGCGAGCGCGACACCATGGCTTCTGCTGTGGCTGCGCGACCAGGCCGCAGCTGCCTCCGTAGGCCCCCACACGGGGGCTTCCTGTTTTCTGACGTCACCTCCGGAAGGCGCCATGCTCTTTTTAAGAAGAATCACTTCTTGCCCTAGAGGTACGAAAAGGTAGAGGGGCGTGCAAGACTTCGCTTCCGGTGCCGCTTAGATCTGCCTTCCATCTCGTCGTGCAGCTTTTGTGACGGAGATCCGGTTTAGTCAGCCTGTGGCCTGGATTTCTTTACAAGGGCGTTTCTGTCGCAAGATCCGGAGCACTTCGGAGCCTTTCCTTCAGAGGACGGCCCTTCCGCGTGCGGCACTGCTGGAAAAGAAAACGTCCGCCCGTTTCCCCTTCCCCCGTCACCCACTTCCGGCCCCGTGATCCGCGCCCGGCCATTCGACCTTCACCTCGGCCCCTTCCCCCTCTTCGAAACAAAGCCATCCGGACTGCTTGGCGGCCTCCCCGGCCCTCCGTCGGCGGGAGAAAAACCGCCTCCGCCCGCCACTTCCGGTCGGCGCGCGTTCTCTTTCGGTCCGGCTGGCTCCCGGGGCGGCTCCCCTGAGTTCCGCAAGGCGGTTCCTTTGTGCTCGGATGGGCTGCCGCCGGTGAGAGACGATGGAGCCTGGCGCCATGACCGAGGCGGGCGGCAAGACTCCGGGTAAGAGCCGTGCCGTCCTCGGCTTTCTTCGGGCGCCCGGGAGCCGGGAAGGGGGACCTGGCGGAGCAGCGATGCCGACCCGGCCTTATCGCTGGAGGGCGGTGGACGCGGACGCGTGGCCGGGCCGGGTTTGGCCCTGAGTTCCCGCTCAGCCCCGCTTGGATCGGGCCGGGCCGGCTTCCCTTGCTGCCAAGCGGGCGAGAAGGCAACCGGGCGAAAGAGGCTGCCGTCCCCGGCCAAGCCCGGGGCCTTTTCCCTCTTCCCTGCCCCGCCAGCCCGGGTGGTTGCGGTGGCCAACCGGAGCCTCCTGGATGGGAAGAGGGCTGGGTGGCTCCTGCACGATCCCCAAGAAGCCTTTGGAGCTTGGGCCAAATCGCTTTATTTTCAGCATCCTTTCCCTCCACGAGAAGAACGGATCCTATTGGGATCCCGTAGGAACGATCCTATTCACTTAAATCAACCTATTAAATTAACTTGGGCTCGGAGACACCGCAGCAGAGATGAAATTCCTCCTTTTTTTGCTGTTTTTTGACACCTGCTGGAGCCGTAGAGGGGGCGATCTTTTCAGAGCGCTGGGGGGGGGGTGTCTAATCTAAAACCGTCATTAATGGATAGGAACTTTGCTGCAATATATAAAAGGGGCTCCACCTTATCCTTTATTTTATTGGCCCTATTTCTACAGCTGCCCATCTCCCACCAAGGGGAGTCTGGGCATGATCCAAATAGCAATTAAAACATTAAAAGCGGTGGGCATGAATGAAAAAGCAAGATCCCCGGAGGGAAGATATTAGATATAATGCAAGTCAGAGCACAGGCGCTCCATTAGTAGAATTATTTAGCCGAATTCTTTAATCCACATAGGCTGGGCCGGTTTTGTGGTTGAGAATGTTAAAAACGGTTCCCCCCCCTCGGGAAACACGGTGTTGTTTTTTTCCGGGGTTGTGTGTGTGTGGGGGGGGGAAATACATTGCTTACTTATGCATTCCGGGGAGAGCATCACAATTTTAGTGGCGGACTTAAAGCTGACTAAGTTAATCGGCCATGGAAAGAGGAGAGCCTTTCAAATGGAAAATGCCCATCTTCTCACGCTGATAAAACTACTGTCCTCAAAAGGAGATGAAGGAGCAAGGTAAAGAATTCTCAGTACTTTAACCAGAGCTGTTTTTAAAGATTACTGGGTCGCTTTTGATATGCTAAGCCCCGGGGACTACCGGTATCAAAAGCAATTCACACAAGGGGCTTTAAGGCACTTTTACTTTTGCTGCAAGCCCTTTAAAGACGCAACAAGAAACACGCCTACCAGCGTTTTACGTTTAAGGGTTCGGAGTGTGCAAATCTAGACTACTGGGTTCATTTAAAGCTAGGGCCAACCTATAGATTCTTGGAATCTGTAAATATGATAGATCCTTGTACATTCAGGAGGGGTTTTTTTTGGTTCCTTTGGGAATTACCAGGAGCTAAACCCTTTCGTCCTTGATCTTGAAAGGAATTTGCTCTGATTATTCAGGAGCAAATCCCCCCTGATATTGGGGTTGAAAGGGGGCTAATTCCTGCAGGAGAGTTTTGCAAGGGCAACTCGTGGCAATGTTATTGCACACACCCCCCAAGCCCAGAAAGAGACCCAGGACCCCGGCTTGGACCCGAGCCGCGAGATCCACGTATCTGGAGCATTTGCACGTCGGCGCTTTTCACACGGAAGCCTCCCCAGCCGCAGCCAAGGGAAAAAGGCTTCGCCGCCGCCGCCGCCGCCGCCGCTCGGATTCCAGCCCGGGAGCGCTCAGAAGCCGAAAGTTGCCGAAGCCTCTTTTCCGGAGCCGCCCGCCGGCGCCCGAGCGCGTTCGGCTGGCGACTCCTCCCCCGCCGGGCGCGGCCGAGTGGCCTTCGGGGGGAGCACGAGGGGCGCCGAGCGGCTCCGAAAAGAGCCGAGAGGTTCGCAGGGCTGGGAAGCGTCCGAGCGCAGGGACGCGGGGCTGGTTGGCTGGCGCGGAGGACCGAAGACGCGGGGCGGAGCGGAGCGGAGGTAGGGAGAGCCGGCCGCGGCCGTGTCCCCTTCCCTCCTGCCGGCAGCCCCTTCCCGGATAGGGTGGCTCCCCCCCGGCCTTCTGAACTGGGGTTGCTTGGTCTCTTGGAGGAAGCCCTTCTTCTCCTCCACTTGGACTCCCAGCCCCATCTTGCACGGCCCCTGGAATTCATTGAACGAGAAAATCTCATTATTGGCACCCTCTCCCATCACTTGGACTCCCAGCCCCATCTTGCACCTGGTGCGTTGTGACCACAGTCACCATCATCCCCTGCTAGCAGGGCTAGAGATTCTTTCAGGACTAGCTCAGGAGAGAGAGAAGAGAAAAGCGGGCATCTTAAAATTGAGGAAGTGAAGCGGCAACTCCTTTATCTGGTGATCTTTTGATCTCCCACCCATAGGCTGTTCCCTAAACAGGTGGGAGCTGCCACTCCCATCATCCCCAGCCAGCAGGGCTGAGGGAGGTGTAATCCTAAAACAACAGAGGGTGCTTTATTGGACAGCCAGATTTGGGGTGTGTGTGTGTGTATCTCTGGGAGACTTTTAACTTGCAACTCTTCGAGTTCTTTTAGGTTACAATTCCTATGCAAGTTAGCCGGGTCAGAGAGGAACTTGCTTGTTTAGACATGACCAAGCACTCTTTCTTGGAGCTGGTCCTGTGAGGGTTGAGGAACAGACGTGTAGGTGTGCAGCTTAGTTCTGGGCTGACAAAACTGACTTTATATCAGAAACTGGCCTGTGTTTTGGGCTGCTTCAAGGAGCACCGGAAGAAACTCTGAAAACTCAGAGGGCGCTCAGTCCATGCTTCCTAGTCTCTCTTGCAAAATGTAATTAGGACTTCTGAAGCTTTCCCCAAGCAAGGCAGGGAATTTTGAATAGAAATGCCTGAGAAACTGGAGAAAAATGAACACAATTGCATACTGTGCCTCCTTCGTGTCTTGTGGCAAACATCCCATAGAGCGACCAAATTCGAGCTTCTGAGCCAGACTACCCACTTGAGCTCCTTGTCTAAGAAACAGAGATTAGCATACAGTTTATAATGGTTAAGAGCCTTCATTGTGATCTTTTAAAAGCCATGGTTGACCGGATCTATATGGGTAAATGCCATATTTCTCCTTTTATTGTTCCTCTTCCGTATTTCTCTGCTTGAGTAGCTGGGCCTGCTGTTATTACCCTAATACTGTGTAGGTGACACTGCAGTTGGCTAGAAAGCTTTGCCCCTTGATGTCAGCCAAAAGTTAGTGAGGCTTAATATTGGCCGGATTTTCATACTGTCCGTCGCCCTAAAATGTGATTTATAGTGATTTTTGACTTGGTGTGTTGCGGAAACCACAAGCATTGTGGTTTGTAAACCATGATGGTTTGCTTAGCACAAGACATGAATCCAGCGATTTGTGGTGCATTCAGCAAACCAAGGTTTAGCGCGATAAGCAGTTTTCTTTTTCGGCCATGATGGTTCTTCCTTTAAAAAGCACATTTCCTCTGCCTGGGACAGTGCTCAAGAAGCAATCTCTTGAAATGATAAAAAAAAAAAAAAAAATTTCTCAAGCTTTGCAGTCCTGAATGGAGCTGAAGCAGAAATATGAGGCACCAACTCTTGCATTATCTACAGGGGAATGACCTTGGAAGACTTGGCCTACCAAGAGAACTATCAGATAAGAGACAGCATAGCAGTAGCTGGATAGTGGGTGGAATCAGAGGCTCAGGAGAGACCCCCCCTTCCCCCCTTAGTTTCTGGGCAGTCAAGGAAAGAGGACACGGAGAGAATTATCCTTTCAGACTTGTAAGATTCTGTCAATGTAGCTTTACAATAAAGGAGAATTAGTTCCATCTGGTTGTTTCAAAGATGCTTTAAAAAAACAACAAGCAAAACTGGACTGTTGTCCAAAGTGCCCACAACTTGAACTTCTAAATAGAAAGGACCCTTGGCTCTATTTGTTGAGAAAAGCATAAATCAAATGTATGGCAGCATTTTGCAGAGCCAGAACTGAGACTCAGAGACTCAAATTCCCTAAGTTCATTAGCAGCTGTTGAGAAATAACAGTGAAGAAATAAACACAGCCTGTTTCCAGCCTCTGTTTTGAATGTGTTAATCCTTGAATGTGTTTCATCATGCCTGCTTTGCTCCTCAAATTATCTTAACTAACCTTCAGGTTCCACCAGTTGCGTTTCTCATTTTAGGTCCTCTCTCAGCTCAATCAGCAAGCTCTACTTTTAATGGGCTAAATAAAAGCTTGTCTTTTTTTTATCTCAGAGTGGCAATCAGCAGCTAAGTTCCTTTCTTATTGCACAGTAAATAAAATTACAACAGGAGCGTCGTGTGTCATGCAGGGAAATGTTTGATAGTAGAGATTGGCATACTTTGACTGAAGCACAAATGTTTTTTTTTTTTTTTGATCGGTACCGGAAGAGGCCAACCCCTATATGGTCTGCAACATTTATAAATTAATCAGTGATACCAATATTCGTTATTCTGAATCTGGAATATGAAATTTTGGATCCTTAATATCTAGAACCAACTGCCTGATGCACTGTTGGAAAAAGTAGCCAGCCTTTATTCTTGCCATCGTGTTAAGTTTGTTTTACTGATATTCCAGTATCAATGTGGCTGACAGGCTAATAGGAAAATGAGAGAGCCATTCAGAGTTTGCAAAACGCATTTTTAGTAAATTTTTGAGATGTTAGTTCTGGTTAACAAACTTGTGAGTTTTGATTAGCTTAAATCAGGGGTGGGCAACTCTATGACCCGTGGACTTCAACTCCCAGAATTCCCAAGCCAGCTGTGCTAGACCATCATGTGACTGCTGGTGTTGCTTTAGCAGGTAACACAAATCCAGCCAGTGATAGTTTATTCAGTAAACCAAGATTTAATACATCATGCCTTAGTTGGAGTAGGTAAACCCATGGTCAGAGTTTGTTAAATTCCCAGCCAAATAAATCCATTAAGTTATTGACATTCTGGGTTCAAAGCTTTTTATTTTAGTTCAAAATGACATTTTCCCTAGTAGAAAGGATTTTGATTCTGCTTCTTTGTTCCAGGGATGGAGACCAGGAAGCTCATAACCGCTACTGACAACCAGTATTCTGGTATGCTTTTGAAAGCTCTGGATGAGCAGCGAGGCCTCGGACTTTTTTGCGATGTCACTGTTATCGTGGAGGACCGCAAATTCCGAGCCCACCGGAATATCCTTTCGGCTTCAAGCACTTATTTTCATCAACTCTTTGCAGTGGCCGGACAAGTCGTCGAGCTGAACTTCATCAGGGGGGAGGTTTTCGCCGAAATACTTAACTATATCTATAGCTCAAAAATTGTCCGGGTGCGAGCAGATTTGCTTGATGAACTGATTAAATCGGGGGAGTTGCTCGGGGTCAAATTCCTGGCTGACCTGGGTGTTCCTCTGCAACAGGTGAAGAACATGTCTTCGGATGCCAGCACTTCCGAGCTGCCCATCCTGGAGGCAAATGGCTCCAAAGTGCAGAAGCCCCCAGCCCCACTGGAGACCCAACACATAAAACTCGGGAAGCCCATCATTACGGAATCCTTTTCTCTCTACAGGGAGCCGTGTGACTCCACCAAGATCACCATTAGTGATTCTGATGATGATGATGATGACGATGTCATTTTCTGCTCAGAGCTGGCACCTGCCAAGGACCGTTCGGTAGAGGCCAAAGTCATAACCCAGATCCCGCCTTGCCCGAATCCTACTGCCTCTTCTGAGATGGCCAGCTCTACCAACAGTAATTCTGCCCCTCAACCAGTGGCAACTGCAGCTCCAAGGCTTGACTCGTCTACCCTTCTGCCCAGTCCGGCTGAAAACCAAAAGCCAGTTGACCCCCTTCCTCCTCCAGCTCCACAGTCCACAACTCCAAAGGTCCTTGTGCTCAATTCATCCCAGGTTGGTGTCGGTTCATCGCACGAAATAGAGGTATTGCCGATTCCCGAAGAAAATCAGCAGCCATCTATCCACGATTCCTTAACCGACATGGAAACCAACATCATTGACGAGGAAGAGGAGGAAGATGTGGAAGACGTGGAAGACGATGATGACATCCTGGGTTTATCCAGTCCGGGTTCGGCAAGCAGCAGTTCTTTGGTTCAGCAGCCCACGACTCCGAAGCCGGCCGCTGTGGCCGACAGCCCAGCAGCCCAGAAGAAGCAAGTGGTGAACTTCCCACCAGAACCCATCTCCCAACCCAACGAATTCAAGATCCAAATCTCAGACATTCTTTCCGGAGGCCTCAAAGACACTCCTCCCAACCTTGGGCCAAAGCACGTCATGGAAGGGCAGAAGACCATCACGTTAGATAAAGCCACCGGAATCGAGAGCTTGTCCACCGGCTGCAAAGTGTACGCAAACATCGGCGAAGATACCTACGACATTGTAATCCCGGTGAAAAACGAGGCTGATGGAGAAGTCCGCCTGGACGATGTCCCACGCACCTCAGGCCACGAGTCCACTAACCGCAAGCGCTTGAAAGTCAAGCACGACGACCATTACGAGCTGATCATGGACGGGAAAGTCTACTACATCTGCATTGTGTGTCGGAGATCCTACGTCTGCCTGACCAGCTTGCGAAGACACTTCAACGTTCACTCCTGGGAGAAGAAATACCCCTGTCGCTACTGCGAGAAGGTTTTCCCTCTGGCGGAATACCGCACTAAGCATGAGATTCATCACACCGGCGAGCGGCGGTACCAGTGTTTGGCTTGTGGGCAGTGTTTCATCAATTATCAGGTGATGGCCACCCATCTGCGATCTGTTCACAGCCAGGATCCTTCAGGCGAGTCCAAGCTTTACCGTCTACACCCGTGTCGGTCTTTGCAGATCAGAAATTACGCATACATTTCGGGGAATTCCAACAATCTCCCGGTCACCAGTGACAATGCCCTGGTTTATTCCGGCAATCCTTCAAAAGAGACCACTCAGGAACCGGTCCCAAACCAACCCGTGAAGCCAATGACTTGGGACGACATCTTTGTTCCGCAGGCAAACGAAAGCCTCTTTAAACAAAACCCATCGGACGGCACCTCCGAATTTGAGTTTGTGATACCAGAATCTTACTGAAGTTGTTGCGGATGGAAATGTTTCGTTTGGTTATCCAAAGGGGGAGGAATTTTTTTTTTAATTATTATTATTTTTAATAAAAAAGCAGAGCCCTTCTCTAAAAGGGCTGATGGGAAGTATCTAGAGAGCATCTCATATGACAGAACACGTCCATGTGCTTCTTCGACCATTAGCATACGGTAGTGTTTTAAAGTTAGATGATGTGTATAACTTTTGAACTCGTGAACGAAAATTGGTCAGGAAATAAAACGATACTTGAATACAGGAAAAGATGCTTAGGAAGTTAGGTGTTCGGTGTTTATTAGTATGGATCAAAAAATCTAAAAAGTTACCGTTCTGAGGCTTTCCCCGTTAGGTGTAGAATAACAGGAATATATACTTTGAACCACTTACTTCTTTTTTTCATGTTAGCACTTTAATGCTGAAAAAGGTTCCATTGTGACTACGAAACAGCAACCTGGCTAGATTTTCTTGCTAATGTGGGCAGGGGGAGGTGGGAGGAAACTTTTTTTTCCTTTTTAAAATATAAATCAGTGCGTTCCTACAATTGAACGTTGCGGGGGTCCAATTCATGCTTGTTCTCGCAAAACCAGGCTTACGGTTAAACGAGGCATAGCCATTTCGCCTTGGCTTTGAAATAAGCATTGTAACTGTTCGTAACGCATGTGGGCCATCCTTAAAGAGAAGGGAGATGTATTCTCCAAGGAAAACTTGTTCTTTTTATCCGGGGGGGATTAAGATAACTCAGTGGCTGGACCATTGTATGTCATCTTTTGTGACTCGATAGGGTGGATGAAAGTCATTACGACAGCCAGATCTTTTTCTACGGAGAAACAGGTTGATCATTTGGAACGAATCTAACTTTCCCTGGCTTATTCCCTGGGGGGGGGGGGAATTAGAAATCTAATTTTGTAGATTTTGCCCTGAATAGCGCAAGAGCTTCCTACCAAAGCAGCCTTGGGAAATGACGCTTTTGGCTCTGTAACTGAGTTGGTAGTTTTTAAAAAGAACCTAGTTAGTTCATTTTCTCAGCAGCCACATGGAAAAGGGTTTTTTTTGGGGGGGGGCTAGATGTGGTAGTCTGAATTTTCTTTTGTGGTCACGCTTTCCTTCATTGCAAATTGGGAATATATTTTTCCAGTGCTCGGCGATAGGCAGGATCTAGATTGGAACGAACGACAGAACTGGTCAAGAGCCATGTAGTTTCTTGTTGTTTTTTTTGTCAAATAACCTCTTGCCTTTTTTTGTTTTTGTAAATTATAATATTTGGAGTGGGTGTTATAGAAGATTGAAAAGATCTGTGATGAATAAAACTAGTTAGCAGTTGGTGGTTTGTCATGAAAATCTCCGGTCATCACTTTATAGCTATTTTTTTTCCTCCTTCTTCTTTTCTCCTTTTATGAAGTCTCCGTTTTGTATTCTCAAGTAGTCATTCCTAGTCCTTAATTTTGTGTCGTTTTTCCCCCCCCCCTTTAATGTTGTATTTTCAGCCAGCAAGTGAAGTTGCTGTGGAGTAACAAAAGAAAAATCATGGACGAAAATCATGATGAAAAGAGCAAATCGCGTTTCTGTTAATGGGAGAAAGCGAAGTAACTCCGTATGCTGGTTTTTTTCTGTAGAGTGAGACTACGTTTGATTATGGATAGGTTTCTTTTTTTAAAAAAAAAATGGAAATGATATGTTAAAATTGGCATTGCCTATTTAAATGAATAATTTTCTGGGACTTTTTATTAAAAAAATACCCTATTAGTCGGCGTCCAGTATGTTTGTCATATTCAGGAGACCCTGGTGTCCATAGCATTTTATAAACTAAGCGAAACTCTTCCTTCAGCTGCCTGCAGCGCCGAGTAAAACCCACTGTGTTGCTGTATGTCATAGTCAAACTTTCAGCTTGAACGTGCTACCCCAGGAAATCCCGATAACCAGTAATTAAATCAGTGCCTGTAAAAAGTGTTTTGTTTATTTGCAAACTGAAAGACGGGGATTCAAAGCTGTCTTATCTTGTTAGAAAAACTCTTGCATGTCTCAGGTATTTTGGTTGTCTTAGGAAGGGAAGTTACCATTTCCAAAGTTAAGGGTTTTTATGAAGTCGCTGTAAAGCCTTTTGCTTTACGGTGTTGGAAATATGCTGGGTCCTTTTTGATTGGCACCATTTACAGTTTTCTTTTTTGTCTTAAGGCACCGGGCAGTTACTGATTCGAGAAATGCCTTCTCCTTTTTCTGTTTTGTAAAGATCATGACATCAGCTCCAGAAAGAACACACCTAAATTATATTATTAAATGGGGAACCTTGCTTCCTCCCAAAAAAAACCCCAAAACAAAGCACATTTACTAAAGGGATTAATATGAAATAGAGCCCTGAGCAGAAATCTAAAGTGGAAAGAGTAACAGTAGGTTAAATTGTTCCAAGCAACTCTTATTTGGAAGTAACGATACTCAATTTCAGTCGTTCCACTTGAGTTCGGATGTACCAATTTGAGAAATGTCCCATCCTGAACAGAGACACTTCTGCAAGAATCCCTATTTTTTATTTTTCTTTAGATTTCCTCCATTTAAAAACTTGCATGCAGCATAACAGGATAAAAAAAAAATTAGCACTGTCCACATTTGCTGGATTGCTGCAGAGCAGATATTCTGCCTCTGGGAGAATTCAGATGGCTTGCCTGCGTGAAGTTTATATAAATCCAAGATTTTGCCACCTTGGGGGGGGGTTGCGCAGATACTTCTGAGTTATAAATTCGTACGTTGTGGGCACGCATACTCAAGGGTTGCTTTGCGCCAAATGCGTGTTTGTGCATTCCTGCATATGGTGATGAGAATCATAAGAAAAATCAGTACTCTGCTTAATTTATTTCCTATATCGAACCGTATCACTTATTAGCAAAACGAAAGATGCAAAAAGGAGCGGTGGTTTATTTCACGACAATTTTTACAGAGCGGTATTATTGTTATTGTTATTTTTAATTTTATCAATACAGTACTGTAATGTATATAGTTGTACAGCCTTTTCCTTAACATACCTTTCTGGGAATTTGTGTTCTGCTTTTCATTAACCAATACTTGACCTTTAGTTCTTAGAGCTTTGTATGGCAAAAAAATAAATAAACACTTCCAATTCTGCTGCGGTGCAAACATTTTCTTTTTTCTCTCTCTCTCTTTTTCTTTTTACAACAAAAGCATCCCTCTCATTTGGAATCAAATCTGTTGTCCTTTTGCACAGACCTGCCTGGCTAAACTGAAAGGCATCGTTGCTTAGTCAACTGTGCTGGTTGAGGTATGTGGCTAGGATCCTAACCCAATCTGCTCACTGGTCGTTTATGTATACAAGTAGTCCTCCATTTACGACAGCTCATTTAGTGACTGTCTAAAGTTACGAGGGCACTGAAAAAAGCGACTTACAACTGTTTTCACACAACCATTGCAGCATTTCCCACCGTCAGGTGATCAAAATTCAAGACGGTTGGCAGCTGGCATGTACTTACGGTGGTTTCAACCTCCCAGGGTCACGTGATTCCCTTTTGCAGCCCTCTGCCAAGCAAAGTCCATGGGGGAAGCCGTATTCACTTCACAACCGTGTTGCTAACAACTGCAGTGATTTACTTCACAACTGTGGCAAGACAGGTCGTGCCAAACCTGCACAACTGGCTCGCTTAGCAACATAAATGTTGAGCTCCATGTGGCTGTAAGTCGAGGCACCAGGTAAGTCTTTGACTTACAACTGGTTGCTTAGCCACCAAAGTTAACAATCAATCCAATAAATGGGACTTAGGACCAGATTTGAGGTGACGACGGTCAGACTTCCTTGGCAGTCACGTGACCAAGCTTCAGATGACATTCATGGCCGTCTGCAGGAACCCATAGTCACGTGACCATGGTTCATGATGGCCTGGCCGAAAACTGGCCACTTTCATTTCCGGCAAAACTGCCCCCACGGTGAACCATCCGTTTGCTTAACAACCCGTAGCGTTCAATTCACCACTGCAAATTTGCTTCCGGTCCAATCTGTTTTACAGCTGTTGCAAGATACATATATCCATCATGGAGATGCTTCATTATAGTCACAGGGTCAAGGATTACCCGTACGTTGAGTTTGCAATGATGTTCAAGAGTCAACTTGAGGTAGCCCCAAAAGATTCGGGAACCCGCCTTCTTAACTTGCTGCCAGTTGGGGACACGTCAGTTAAAATTAAAACATCTTGGGTTTTCAAAGTCGAGAAGATGGGGTTTGGGAAGTGGCACACGCATGAAGCGACACACATGGGCGGGTCTTATAAGAAAGGGTGGTTTATTTGCAGCCTCATCTTTGCATGAATCACAGACATATCTTCCCTTGCATGGCCTCGAGATTGAATCACAGCTCCTGTCAAACTGTCTTTAGCGCAGGTTGACGAAGGCTTAACCCAGAAATGCTACATATAAAACACCCTGCTCTTCAGATACGGGATTTCCCCCCCCCCCAATCACAATTTGTGCTTCTAAATTTTCAGCAAAGCACCTCTGTTCTCTGTGCAGTAAGTAAACTGAATGTGCAAAGCAGGCAAAGCATTAGAAATATTAATTTATTCATGCTAAGTTTCTGGGTGTGCCCATGCACACTTACACACACATATAAAAGAGGCACCTGTTCCAAGTCTTTTTTTTTTTTTTAAAGAAAAATCAAATTTAGATGTAACGGCCATAGCTGTTAGAGACTAATTCTCTTTTTTCGTACTAGGCTTCTGCTAGGTGGTGAAGGGATTGCAAGACTGCCTGGGAAACTGTCACGGAACTTTGAAAATGAACATCACATGACTGCAGCAGCAGCCCTACAGCACCGCAGCAATCAGTAGCACTGAAACAGCCACACTTTCCCCAAATTTCATTCCCTAAAGGAGTTATGGGGTCCTGGATTTTGGACATATTCTGTAAATTAGCCTATTTGAGGTACCTTGGTTCAAAAACTATTGCCCTACAAGGCACAGTTTCACCCAGTTAAAAGTGATGAGCAGAAGAGTTTTAGTAGCATATAGTTTCCCCATTGGCTGGGGAATTCTGGAAGTCCACATATCTTAAAAGATGCAAGGTTTGAGAAACAATGGGGTAGCTTATTTCAAAGAAATCTGGTCTTTTTTTCCAGCACAGTGCTGATGAATCTACCACTGGGTGTCAGGATGGAGCAGCAATGAAATTCACAAACCCCTCTGCATTTCATTCTTGCCCATTTGCAGATTTGTCTTTTGGCTGTCTCTCCACTTCTTAATTAAAGACTTAATTTCACGCACTCCGACTCTTTGGTACTTCCTTTAAAAGAACAGCAGAGGAATTTTGTCCCTTTGGCTCCAGGGTGGATCTTCCCATCATCTCTAGTGAGGAACAAGGATGAGTTATCAGGGAGCTGCGGAAATTCCAATTAACAGACTCATCCGGGTGAAATAAATCAAGCTGGCAGCCACCATCAATCAATCCAAACGCTGCTCCTTTCATGTATCCATAGCGACTCACCTAAAATGGGGGAAAGCTTTGATTGCAGGGGTTGAAATTGCCATCCTGACTTATCTTGAGCCCGTTTATGAACTCACATCATCCACTGGACAGTTTCTGAAGAGCTGAAGAGAAATCCTGGATCCGCCAAAGGCTAATCTTTAACAAGCAATTCGCTCAAAGAGAGCATGAGAAGAAGGCCTCTCCCACCGTCCTTTAAAAACAAACAAGGGCCCAGGGCAGGATGCCCATTTTTTTATCCCTCAAGAGCAGGGGGTCTCCAAATTTGGCCACGTTAAGACGTGTGGACTTCAACTCCCAGAATGCCTCAGCCAGCCGGGGGGGGGGGGGTTGAAGTCCACACGTCTTAAAGTGTCCAAGTTTGGAGAGAGCCCTGCTCAGGAGTGAGGGACGCAAGGCTCCCGCTACAGAAAGGAAACTGAGGGAAGGTCCAAGGTGCCAGTTTGCTTCTTCCGGTACAAAAGATTGGCAGGTAGGTAGTTTAAGGGGCTGCATCCTCTCTCCCCTTCTACTCAGTTTTCACGGTGAATAAGGCGGCGGCTTCTCAGAAGGTGGAAAATACGGTGGGCAGTAACGAGGTGGAGCACCAGTTGGGGACCAGACCAAGCTCGGTGAGGGCGGTAACGAGAGCGGATCCTCCGGCAGGCCAGATGGGCTGGACGTTGTAAAGAGGCTGGAATGCTACAAGGAGAACAGAAGAGAGAGAAAAAACAGAATAACAGAGATAGGACCTTGGAGGTCTTCTAGTCCAACCCTTTGCTCAAGCAGGAAACCTTATACCATTTATACGTACACTGAGAGCTTTTGCAAAGGAGACAAATTCCTTGTGTGTCCAATCACAATTGGCCAATAAAGAATTCTATTCTATTCTGTTCTGTTCTGTTCTGTCCTATTCTATTCTATTCTATTCTATTCTATTCTATTCTATTCTATTCTATTCTATTCTATTCTATTCTATTCCTATTTCTACTCTATTCGACAATCTATTCTATTCCATTCCATTCCATTCCATTCTATTCTATTCTATTCAGATATTGAAATGCCTTTATTGGAGACTAGGACCTTAAGCAGTTTTACTGCAGATTATAAGGAGCTGCTTTGGACCCCGAGCCCTCAGTAGCTGGGACACCCCACCCCACCCCCATTGTTGTGCAGTACAAACTGACCAACTACATTTTCACCTGGCTCCAGCAAGGTTAATTTTTTTTCTTTTGTTTATTTGCATATTTATATCCTGCCTTTATTATTTTACAAGAATTCAAGGTGGCAGACATATCTAACACAACTTCCTCTTGTCCAAAGGTCACAAAAAGGGATCACGTGACCCACCGGGGGCCACTGCAACTGTCACAAGTACATGTTAGTTGCCAAGCCTCTGAATGTTGATCACGTGACCACGGGGATGCGGCAATAGTCGTGTGAAAAATGGCGGTCGGTGGCTTTTTTCCAGGGCTGCTGCAACTTCAAGCGGTCGATACGATGCATGATTGTAAAATGAGGACTATCTGTACAAAAAGAGTTCTTGGCGGAGGGAAGATCAAAGTTACACAACATACCTGGAAGTCGTACGCTGAATACGGCGGCAAGTGAGGCGTGCTGTGATAAGTGTTGTACGAGGTCACCTGGGGTCGTGAGTAATAGGACACAGCTGGCCGTGGGTTTTCGACCGAGCAGGTAAGAGTAGGATGAGTGGGCACCTGAAAAGAAGGAAGAGCGGAAAAGATTATATGGCTTTGAGGAGGATTAATCCGACCATACTACTTGGTGGAAAATCTTCTCCCTCCAGGGGTTAAGAAAGCCCCAATCTCTTGGCCTGCCACAAACGGGTCGAAACCTGTCTGCCTAGCCTTGCGTGGGGAGACACACGGGCCCACACAGCCATGGGGCTGGTCGACCCCCATGAGACCCCCTCCCGGCCTCTATTAACCACTCCGTCTCCCCATCTTGGAATTCTCCATTTTTTTTTGTAATTTTGCAATGTTTTACATCTTTTTAAATATTAATCTTAAACTATTTAAACTATTTGTCTGAAATGGCATAGGACAAGGGGTCTTTAAACGTGGCCCTTTTATGACTTGTGGATTTCAGTTCCCAGAATTCCTCAGCCAGGCACGTTGGCTGAGGAATTCCGGGAGTTGAAATTCACAAGTCATAAAAGGGCCAAGTTTGAAGGCCCCCTGGTGTAGAGAGGGAATGATTTGGTCTTATTCTACTTTGCATTCTGTGAAATTTATCTACAATTTGTGCAGGGGGGGGGGCAAGGAGAGGAAGACGCGCTCTTAATGGCATTCAGACTAAAAGGCTTTCCCTCAGACTTCACTTCCGTTGTCTTGGCATGCCCCTTTGTTCAAAGGAAGCCTGCCCAGAAATACATCATGGTGGGCTCACAGCCAAAATGAATCCTCCCATTACAGTGAAAGGGCTGTTTTTCAGACCAGCTGGCAGCATCTGGCTGATCCAGAGGAGAGCTAAACCCAGATTTGATTAGGGCGTGGACCCAGAAAATCCCAGGATGGTAGGTTAGGCTAGAGAGCTGGAAGGAAGCAATGGCTAACTGGGTTTAGAGAACGATTCACTTAAAAAATTGGCTTAGCCACTCTGGCAAAAAAGTCGTAAAATGAGGCACAACTCACTTAAGAATGACCTTCCTTAGCGTCAGAAATCTGGGGCTCAACTGTATTTGTAAGTCAGGGACTATCTATATACAAAGCCACGCCATGGTTTCAATCAGTCCATCAGAATAGATCAGGAAGGGACCTTGGAGGTCTTCTAGTCCAACCCCCTGCTCAAGCAGGAGACATTATATCATTTCTGACAGGTGGCTGTCCAGTCTCGTCTTAAAAACCTCCAGTGATGAAGTACCTAGAACTTCTGGTGGCGAGCTGTTCCACTGGTTAATTATCCTCACGGTTTGGAAGTCTCTCCTTCGTTCCAGGATTGTTTGGGTTCATCTATCTGTTGTGCAAACTCGGCCACTGAGATGTCTAAACCCACATTGTCAACTCAGTTCAATCTGTTGTTGGTTTGTCCAACAGTCTCTGAAATGGCCGAGCTTTGTACCAGCTTTCGGACTTACCATATCTTTAAAACCACCCAGGACGGCCGCTGTGATGATGCCTAGAACCAAACCCAAGATATTCAATACTGTTGCAGACCACAGCAATTGGTAGAGATGGACGATATCCTGGCAACTGCTGACATCGATAAATTCATAATAGCCGCCGGAAATCTCCATCCTGCTGGACAGGAAGAAGCGAACGTTTTCAACGGGATCAAAGCTAAACCTCACAGCCTTATAGGTTTAAAAAACCAGGGTTAAAAAAAAAAACCTGTAAAATCGGATCTGTCACCTGGTGACCCGAGTTACAACTGGGAGGGAAAAGCTTCATCACGGTCGTAACTCGAGAACTACATGTTAAGATTGGGAAAGTAGATGAATAAGACTTCAGGAATACCCAATTGCCTATTGGGGGGGGGCATCATCTATCAAAACAAACCAGGTTTGCTTGTGGACCTGGCATTTGGTGGCTTGACGTGTCCTTCGGCCACCAAAACCAGATTTGAAAGGACAAGTAGCGACCAGTTGGGGAGTAGCCAAATCCTTATGATGCGGCATGAAACCCAATTTAAAAATCATTTTTCCCTCCTCAGAGATTGCAAAACTATCTGGGCTTGACCACGTGTGGTGTAGCAGCGCGGTCTGCCCTACTCACCTTCCGCAGTGGTACAAGTCGCAACAGAAGCAGGTGTTGGTTTTGATCTTTGGGACGCAAGAACTCCGGGGCTGCGGGTGGCAAATGGTCTGTGGGAGAGAGAAAAGCACTGAGTGGGTTTTTGGGAGGTATCTTCACAAAGACTCTGGGAGGATCCCTTTTCTAGATGCCTATGGAGATTCTCAGTCCTCCAGCTCATGGTTTGTCCCAAAGGCGCTTTTTTCACGAGGCAACTGGACTCTCTGGTTTTTCTTTGAAGACCTTTCGCTTCTCATCTAAGGAGCTTCTTCAGCTCTGACTGGATGGTGGGGAGTGGAAGGATTTATACTCCTTGCAGACGGCTGGTCATTTGCATTCCTTTAGAGTCGTTGAGGCCGCTTCAGTTTGAGACGCAGACAACACAGACTCATCCCCAACAGCCTGCGTCTGAGGTCAACAGTGAAGGGACACCGGGCAGAAAACATCCTGTAGAAAGCACAGCTCCACAACACAGTCCTTTCAGTCGTTCCAAGAAAGTTCCACGCTCATTTGCACTACTCAGGTGACCCTGAGGACACAAACCTCCAAGGGCCCTCAATGACCGCCTAAAAGAAGGCAAATGACTAGCTGTCTGCGAGGAGTATAAATCCTCCCATTTCCCCACCATCCAGTCAGAGCTGAGGAAGCTTCTGGGATGAGAAGCAAAACGTCTTCAAAAAAAAAAAACAAAAACAAAGGGAGTCCAGTTGCCTCTTGAAAAAGCAGCTCTGGGACATCCCTTTTCTAGCTTGGCATCATTTTTCTTTTCTTGCTGCAAAGGGGACCTTGATGTGGAACGCGGCAAGGAAATTTAACTTTAGCCCTGCCCGCAGCACGCAGACAACCACATGTTGAGCTTTTCTCACTGGAAATCCAAACCATTTGTGATAAAAAAAAATGTGACGCCTGGGAAGAGCATTTGGTTCCTCCAGCCTGTAGCTGACAGAAGAGAATAAAATCACACAGCTCCGTTTCTAAAGAGGGGAGAAAAGGAAGAATTGGTTTTGGGGTGGGGTGGGCAGGGTGGAAATCTGACTTACTTTGGGCTGGGTGGTGCTTTTGGCATAGTAGTGGCAGCGTCCTGCATAAAGTGGCCTCAGGTCCTGTAAAAAGAAAATTCCCCCCCATCCCCAATTTTAAAACAGTTCAAGCAGCCACATTTTAAAATCAGAAGCAGAGACAAATACAGGTAGTCCTCCAGTTACAGCTGTTCGTTTAGTGACTATTTGAAGTTTCAACAGCACTGGTAAAAATGACTTGTAACTATAACACCGAGTTTCAGGAAACAGCTGTGTTGCTGTACTAAACCCCCCTGCAGCGCTTCGCTTAGTCACTATGGTGAGAAAGGTCGTAAAACGGGGGCAAAACTCACTCAACAAATACCTTGCTTAGCAACGGACATTTTGGGCCGGTGAATCATGCGGTCGTTAAGAGAGTACGGCTTCCCCCGATTGAATTGGCTTGTCAGAAGCCAGCTGGGAAGGTCGCAAAGGGTGATCACGTGACCCCGGGACACTGCAACCGTCCTAAGTACCTGCCAGTTGCCAAGTGCCAGAACTCTGATCACGTGACCCCGGGGAAACGGCAACACTGGTAAGTGTGAAACTTCAAACAGTCACTAAATGAAGGATCGAAAGTCGAGCACTACCTGTACAGGTAACCCTTGACATCACCACAACTGAGCCCAAAACGTCTGCTGGTAAGGGAGACATTTTTTAAGGGAGTTTTGCCCCATTTTAAGTGAATCCCTTAAACCAGGGCTTTTCAACCTTTTCACCCATCGTACCACTTTTAGGATATGGCAACATCCGAGTACCACCAGTTGCCTAGCAAGGTGTCAAAAACTTGATGACCAAAAAAAAAAAAAAAGGAAAAAAATGATAAAGTACAGGTAGTCCTTGACTTACAATAGTTCGCTTAGTGACTGTTCGAAGTTACAATGGCACTGAAAAAAGTGCCCCCCCCAAGCCACAGCCAAGCAAGACACCTGCATGTCCACCTGGCGGTGCTCTTCCTCCTGTCCTAGGTTTTCATTGTTGTGAGCATTTCCGTTGAGGATTGGCAGTGAGGGTGGGGTGGGGGGGGGTGGATTTTTATTCCCTATCTACTAGGTGACCAGCAGGTTTTGGTCACTTCATATCACCCTGGGACACTGTGACCGTCATAAATATGAATCAGTTGCCAAGCATCTAAATGTAAATCACAAGACCTTGGAGATGCTGCAACATTCCAGTTGATCGGCGCTTCTTCAGGGCTCAGCAGAAGCACCAGGATCAGCGCCGAGCTCCAGCTGGAGCCTGGTGCTGATCCTGGCGCTTCCGCTGAGCCCTGACAGCCCTGCAGCTCCAGCCATCTCTCGCTCAGGCTTGTGCGGTGCTGCCACCGGTTCAGCTCATTCCCCTCCCCCACTACCACTTTTCTAGGATAGTCACGTACCACCTGCCAGGTGCCAATGTACCATAGGTGGTACCCGTGCCACTGGTTGAAAAGCCCTGCAGTTGAACAGTTGAGAAGGTGGTCACCCGATTGCTAAGTGATTCTGGCACCCCCATTGACTTTGCTTGTTGGTGACCCTGGGACACGGTCATAAGTATGAGTCAGTTGCCAAGGGTCTGAATTTTGATGTGAGCAACAAAGGTCGTAAGTGAAAAATGGTCATTGGTAAGGGAGACACGTTGTAATGAACTGTTGTTAAGTTGAGGTTTGCCTGTACTCAAATTCAGGCAGGCAAGGCTGGGTGTTTGTCCGTTCCCCACCCAACCCCTCTAGATTTGTACTCACAATGTGCCTGGCAGCAAACACGCCGTCCACAATCGCACAGCAGAAGGCAGCAATGACCCCAAAAGTGATGAATACGATGGAGGCGACCAGCTGTGGAGGACAGGAGGGAACACAAGGAGAAACTGCTGCTCAGTTGCAAAACAGCTGGCACGTCACCTCAGGCGGGCAGCCCTTCTGCCTCCTGGCACCTGCCGAGAGCTATTTTAAGACTCCGCCAGCGTTCCCCAGAAGCTCTGTTTACACATATGGAGGGCAAAGCATGTATTTTAATGCTTGACCTATTCTGGGATGCAGCAACCTTCCAGGATAGGGGGCTACAGGCAAAGTCTGCCAAAGATTTTTGACTTGGTCCCCTGCATCGTGCACACACGCACGCATCCCCAACACACAAAAAGGATTAACTGGGAGGATGGGATTGGGGGAGACCCTCTCCCTGGGGGTCCAGCAATGTCAGCCAGCCTTGAGAAAAAAAAACTGGATCTAGCTGCTTGGTGAACACACTGGTGTAAATGACCGTAATATGAAGGACCTTCAATCATCTAAAGATGTTAATAACAGCGGGGTCTTCAACATGGACCAAATGGGCCCCCAAACAGACATTCCCTGGGTTGCTGATGGATATAAAACACCTCAATTTTTCTGTTATTAAATCTAGCATTCTCTTAAATACCACTGTTGCCATATCTTTCTAGTGGAAGGTTTTGGGCTTGTCTTAATGTGGGCTTTTTCTCATCCTACCTATCTTCTGAAGTTCTCAAGGACGTGGACTTTGTGTCTTGCTTGCCTACGGTCTCTTATCATTTGTGTGAAAAGGTAATTAGTTTCCCACAAGGAAGTAGCTACTGACAGTTTGAAGGGCTTCACAACTAGACCTTCCTACTACCATGGTTCCTACTTTCCTTGGTGATGGTTATCCCACCTGTTTGAAGACACGGAGACAGAACACAAAGGAGTAGAACCCTGGAAGAGCAGCTGAGAATGCAACACGGAACAGAACAATAGAGATTTGTTCATCCCAACATCACTTCCTGGTCAACTGGTCACTTAGGGAACCTGGCTGCCTGGCCACACCTCATTGGCCTCCTGGACAACTGCTGTTCCACCTGTCTTACTATCACCTGATGGTCTACCCCAAGGTACTTCTATTTCCATTTATATTTTCCCTTTTTTTTCCCCGTGAAAGCAGATGGACCACAGTTTTGAACACCAGCTCAGAATCACGACCACGAAGGGAAAAGAAAGGCAGGAAGAGAAATCTGTTGACGGGGTTCCTGGTTTCATGGCGGTTTCTTAGATATCACAATATTATCCCCTAGCGCTGTCTGAGACAGTCCGGAGAGGGCAAAAGAAAGCCACATCCTCATTTGGGGGTGCTTCTTTCCCCGGTGCTCCCTTTTTCAGCTCCAGGGGAGGCTCCACCAAAGAAGCTTCAGCCATTCAAATGAAGTCCAAAGATGAAGTCTATCCAGGTGACCCGGATCTGCTCTTTCATTCCCTCTGAGTAAAAAATACAGGCAGCCTCTCTTGGTTCACGGCAGTTGATGACGTAATCCAGATTCTAATCTAGGCTCTTCCTTCTGGTGGAAGGCAGTGGATGGATTGAGGATTTGGCTGATCAGAAAGAGGTCAATCCATAGAAGCAGCCCTTGACTTGATGAGCCGATAATTAAAGACCTATCTGCATCCCCCTTCCCTAAAGTGCACCAGGGAGAACAGCCATGGGAAATGGCTAGACCAGGGTTCCCCAAACCCCGGTCCGTGGACTGATACCGGCCCGCGGCATGCCAGCAACCGGGTGGCACAAACAAGCAAAGCCCCATCTGCAGGATGCAGGCAGCACACAAAACCACACCCCGTCCGGTCGATGGAAAAACCTCTCTCCATGGAACTGGTCCCTGGTGCCCAAAAGGTTGGGGACCTCTGGCCTAGACGGTTCCAGTTGAGTGAAGAGATCGGTCTTCTTCAGATAAATTTGATCCCAAGATCTGGGATGTCATGGGTTGCCAGAATGTCTCTTCTTCAGATGAAGAGCCCAACCCTCAAGCCCCAGGAAAGACAGAGCATCCAGTGCCTTGCCGATCATCTGGATGAATTCTCTTGAAAGATTACTTGAGCACTCCTAGCCTGGCTATCAAAGGGACTTATTTCCTGAGTTTATATAATACCACCTTATTTATCAAATAGGCCGAGCTTGTCCCTGTTAGATCAAAACCTATACTCCCGCACCAAAGTATAAAGTTAAAAGCCAACAAAATGCTGCATGGCATAAAAATACAGTTGCTAGGCCTTTAGTGACCAAAATGGGGCAATCTTTAGGGATTGTTGCTACCCAGACATTTTGACGAGGTTAGGAAGAAACCCTGTGGTAAGGTGGGCGGGCCAATACATTTAATAAATAAAAATAAAATAGAGGAAGCACTGTGCATGGCACAAGAGCCAGGTTCAACTTCCTCATCCTCCAGTTGAGTCAATCAAGTGGTAGAAAGATCTCAGTTTAAGAAACCAGAAAACTGTTGTCCATCTGAGTTAACAGGTGTCTGATTTAGTAGCATTTCCTACGAATATTAGTGGCAGAAGTCATGCTTTGAATGCAACCTATCTCCAAGTAAGGTTGGGAAGGACTTCTGGGCAAAAAAGTCTTGTGGCTGGATCAGACCAAGGAGCCAACTAATTCAGCCTCCACATATACATATATCTTTTAATTCCCAACCCAATCCTTTCTCCAGGAGTCTGAGTTTGACTTTCTATTCAAATTCCAAGCAAAGATATTAAGTGGGAAGTCCTCTAAATGTTTAGGATAACTCTCTGACTCATCTCCTCCTCTACCGGGAACCAGGCGGCATTCTTCGTAAGAACATCCCTTCAAAAATAGACAGGTCAGGTTTGAAATATTTGGCAACGGTTGATCTCAGCCATGAAGGTCCACCTTCCGCTTATAGAGGAGAAATAAAAAAAATAGTTGGAAGAGCTTGGAATTAAGGAGAAACTTCCTAAGAGGGAGGACAATTAACCAGTGGAACGGCCTGCCTTCAGAAGTTGTGGGTGCTTCATCACTCGAGGTTTTTAAGAAGAGACTGGACAAGCCATTTCTCAGAAATGGTATAGGGTCTCCTGCTTGAGCAGGGGGCTGGAATAGAAGACCTCCAAGGTCCCTTCCAGCTCTATTCTGGTTCTGGGAAGTCATGAATGCTAGTTAATTAACTGATTTGAACGCTCCTAATTTGCTTCTGGGTTGTTCTAAACTAAGAACGCAGTTTTAACCCACAAGTCTACAATATGGCATAGCGGCTTCATCGGGCTAACATCCAAGTCTCTATTTAACAAGAGTTTTTTTAAAAAAGAAAGAGAAGGGAGGGAAGGGGGTCAGTTTGAGATCACTGGTCAATGGAGATGAGAATTCTGATGGAAGGAGGAGGGGTTGTAACCCAATTTTACTTCCTGCTTAACTGTAAAGCCTGCTACTCCTAGCCCAAGCCACCTTCTGGGTTCTGCAGGAACAGGAGCAAACAGTGAGTTGAGGCTGAAATCTTGAGCCATACTAGGTGTGCCTAGTATGAAGGCTGGATTATTTCAGAACCTTCTCTCAATGCATAATTCAGTACTGAGACGGTCAAGTGGGTCACGATTCTCCTTTTCAAGAGGATCAAGCTGTAATCCTGGCTTGTGGCAGATGTCTACCACTGAGTTATAAATTCCCTTGATTAAGGGGGGTGGGAAAAGCTTCTCTCCACGCTACTGAACTTCCCGCTTGTCAGGTTAAGGGACAAAAAAGAAAGAAAGAACTACAAGGCAGAAATGTCTGCTTTGGGAGCAAGAGAAGAGAAAGAAAATGATATAAAAAAGCCCTCTAATCATACATGGACACAAAAGTAGTTTCACCGGCAGATCAACTTACCATTTGCCTTTTATTTTCGATCAAATTGGATCCGATAATGCCAAGAAATGACCCAAAGCCCAGCTGAAAGGAAAAGGATTTAAAATGTTTTACATTCTGGTCTGGAAGACAACTGACTTTTTCTGCACAGTCGAATTTGGAAACAGAGTAGGAAGGAGGACGATAAACTCACGCGAACAAATATTTCAATATTTTTATCCCAGCATATATGGGAACATGGGCGGATCAGGCAATATACAATGCAATAATTACAAAGATTTGACCTTGCTAGTTTTCTCCTGGTCAGTTAAGACTGACCCAGTTGAGTGAGTCTTAGGAAAAAAATGGGAGTCAAAGAATTATGGGAAAATCATTGGTACAGGTACCAATGGTTAGGAATTTAATTGTATTTTGTATGAATAAATGGAAAATAAAAACTTTTTAATAAAAAAAAAGAATTATGGGGAAATAAAGAGCTAAATATGTATATAGGTAGTCCTCAATTCACAACACTTCATTTAGTGACCTTTCAAAGTTACAACGGCATTGGAAAAAGTGACCTGTGACTGTTTTTTGCACTTAGGACCACTGCAGCATCATGGTCACGTGATCAAAATTCAGACCGCTTGGCAACTGACTCGTATTTATGACGGCCACAGTGTCCTGGGGTCATTTTGCAACTTTTTGACTAAGCAAAGTCAACGGGGAAGCCAGATCCGTTTTACAACTGTGTTACTAATTGAATACCTGCAGTGATCCACTTAACAATTGTGGCAAGAAAAGCCGTAAAGGGGGGAAGCACTTACTTAACATCTGTCTCGCTTAGTGACAGAAATTTTGGGCTCACTCGTGGTCGTAAGTCGAGGACTAGCTGTATAGTAAATCTCTTCCCCTTATTTCATATCTTTGTTCTTGGCCTGTTCTAAAACATCAATCACCACCTTCCTGACTTTACGTTAAGATTGTTCATGCTTAGAAAAAGATGGAGGAAATGCTTTGGATTTTACATCAACCCGGCAATTTTCTCTGCCTGAAAGAAATTTTGCTATTCAGGGCATCATGTTAACATCCTTGTTCCTCCCACCTTAAACCATCCTTAATGCTTATAAGAGTTCCAAGGCAAGAGTCCAGGTTTTTCGTTCTGTCCTGGAATTCTCTACTTACAATAGCTCCCGGGTAGTAACCCCCAACAGTCACGTTTTGAGTACGTGTGGTTGCAGCAAGGCCCACGGTCAGAATTAGGAGCGAGACGATAAGGAGGGTCACGGTGACATAGAGAGAATTTCGCTTTTTTCTGTTGAAAGACCCTAGAGAGATACACAGAGGAATAACGATAAAAGGATGTGCCTAATCTGTCAGCTACTAGTCCACCAGGAGGCCACTTCCATCTCCTACGTGTTCCGCTGAAGTTCACTGAGAGAGCCATAAAAGAACTTTTCCAAACATCGATGGAGATTCTCAATCATCCAGGAGGTTGAACAGATAATAACAATGTACGGACATGTAATATGTTCCGAAGCATGAATTTATGAGCTAAAGGTGCTTTTCCAAAAAGCAATTGGACGTTCTTGCATTCTTGGCTTTTTTTTTCCCCTTTGAAAACATTTCAAAGGCCTAGGGAAATTCACTTATATTACCCCAAAATGAAGATCACCCTTATCAGACAGTTTGGAGCAGTGGTTCTCAACCTTTCTAATGCCGTGACCCCATAATACAGTTCCCCATGTTGTGGTGACTCCCAAGTGGGTGTGGCCACCAATAAGAGGGAGTAGGACAGCTAGGGAAAAGGGAAAAAAATGGCGGACAGCATGGTTTGGCAACCCCCATGAAATGGTTGTTTGACCCCAAATGGGGTCCCGACCTACAGGTTGAGAACCACTGGTTTGGAGGAACATCTTCTCACACTAACCAAATCTTCATTCACACTCCTACAAAGTAGGAGCTTGAGATGACTTTCTCTAGAACAGTGGTTCTCAACCTTTTTAATGCCGCGACCCCCAACTGGTTGTAAGTCGAGGACTACTCAACCGGTCATAAGTCGAGGACTACTCAACTGGTGCAGCACCGTTTGCAGAATGGGACTTTTGGCGGCCTCAGCAGGGCAGAGACAGCCTGGACAATTCCTATTGGCTTTTGAAAGCCAATAGAATTAGACTCTTATTCAAGAGAGTCTATTCTATTGGCTTTCAAAAGCCAGTAGAATAAAAGGGAGTAGCACAGCTAAGGAAAGGGGGAAAAAATGGCGGACTGTGTTGTTTGGCGACCCCCGTGAAATGGTCGTTTGACCCCAAATGGGGTCCCGACCCACAGGTTGAGAACCGCTGCTCTAGAAGGTGAATGGTGAGCACACAGGTCACCAACCCACAATGTGGCCAACCGGGTTAGCTTCTTCCCATGATGAAACCTCAGAACAGGGAAATGGAAAACCAAAGGGACCAAGTGACAGCCCATAAATTATCTGAACACAAGAAATGACGATGGCCAACTATGGATTCCTATTTCAAAGGCAGACAAGGAAGCAGAGACCATGGTTAACTAACTGGATCCTAATTACTGGGAGGAAAGGGAAGAACCCTATTTCTGAAGGGGGGGGTGTCACCTTTTATCAGGTGCTTTCAATTTGGGTGGCTAGCTTCTCTCCCCTCTCCCCCCCCCAGCCCCTTTTCTTTGAAACAGTTCTCTTTTTGGTACTCCTATCCTGAATCTCCTAGGAAAGCTTCAAGGGGCACAAACGGGGGGGGGGGTTGCCCCCAGCATTTTCTCTCCTCTCTCTCCGCCCCCTCCCCCGCTTCGCTTTGCAAGAGGTCCGCTGCACGCTGGGAACTCTTTCCTCTGGGAAACCCCTTCAAGTTCAGGCTGGCTGCTCCAAGTCCAGAGATTTAACCTTCTCCTTATTTGGAACAGGGGATGGGAAGCAGGTCTCTTGGAAATATGTGGGTGGAGGGGGGAGGGCAAGGAAGGGAAAGAGGAGAGAGGCTGAACCGGGCCTCTCAGCTCCCCCTGGCCTTCCAACCGCCACCCCAATCTCTCCAGCTGGCCGAGGGACCCCTCCCCAGGCTGCGCCCAGCCGGCCCTCTCCAATTACGCACGGCGCCCGGGCGCGCTCGGCTCGCTGGAAAGAGCCCGCGGGGCTCGCCCCGTCCTCCTGCCCGGCCGCCCTTCTGCCCCCCGTCCTGACAGCGCCCACCGACCCCACTCACCGGCCGAGGTGGAGAGCGAGATGTCACTGGAGCTCGGCGGAGCCAAGGCCTGGCGCATGGCGCTGGCGGTGCGCCTCCTGCGCCCCCGGCCTGCGGAGCCGCAAGGCGCACAGCTACCGGGCGCGGAGCATCCTCCCGCAGCGCTCCCGGTCGGGGCCGGCGGCTGGTGGCGCTTGCGCAAGGCGGGGGAGAGAGAGAGAGAGAGCCTGGTGAAGGCAGCTGCGCGCCCAGAGGCGAGGAGAGGAGGGGTCCCGGCTGTTGCGCCGATCCTCGCGGGGTTGAGATGCGCCGGATTCCCAGCGTGGAAGAGCCCTGCGCCTCGATCCAGGGCGGGGTGGGGGGCTCGGAAAGGGGACCGCTTCTTTTGGATTCTGCCCCTGCAACGCTGAAAGATGCAAAGCCAGGGAGGGCTGGGTGGGTGAAAAAAAAAACACCTTCCCAAAGGCGAAAATTGCGCTTTGAACGCAAAATGCAGGCGTAGGAGCTCAAATCCCCCAAAAGGCAACGAGCATAGATTAAAATGGGCTCTGAGATGCATCAGTGCCACGTTTCATTGATGAAACTCTCCGTTCAGCCAATGGAAGATCGCACGTTCGGTTGGATAGATCCTCGACCTGCTTTTCTGTATTAGCCTGCCTTGCAGACCAGCCTTTCATTAATAAGACATTTCTGATCGCATATTTTGGCTGCTTCCTGTGCTAGGAATATCTCGGGACAGATTTATCTCACTGTCTTTTAATTTTGAAAAGGGTTGGGGTTTGCAATAAATGGGTTCTTCAGCCGTATTTTTGGATAAATGGCCGGGTTTAATGCAAAGAAATATAAAAAGCACTTCGGCAATATGACTTACGGATTGATGGTCAAGGTCTGGCCTAAGTTACTTCTCAAATAATTTGAAGAGGAGGAATGAATTAGAAAAGCAGAATCCTGAAGGTCTTTGCAAAACAAGCAAAGGAATACACAAAATTCTTCATAAACAAGGAAAAGGTCAATAATGTAAGCAAAAAAGGAAATTTATTGCAATAGTTATAGTTGGAAAAAGGCCTTCAACAGGATAAAACCCTATAAGAAAAAACAAAGAGCATCCCCCCCCCCCCATAAAACAGCTCTATTGCTTTAGAACTGTCTTGGTAAACTTTTGAAATAAGCAGATCTGAAATTGTAGCTGTGCCTTTGATACGAATTCTTCCTCATGAATGCAGAACTGAGATCTAAAAGATGGGGAGTTCAGAATTTTAAAAATTCCGGATGTAGCAGATCATTCTGGCAAGTCTTAAGGCACAAGGAAGCTTTCAAAAGAAAAGTAAAATCGAAAGTCACTCCTGGGAAGTCAGGCTCTCTCCCAGGATTAAATCTTTTTCCTTGAGGGGCAGAGGTAGCCAGGAGGGGGCAGAAGATAATTTAAAAAGGGGGGAAAAGAACAGACATCTATCTAGTCAGTGTAACCTGATCATCCAGAGCCAAAAATAGAAAATGCTTTGGAAAACACATCTATCTGGCTATGTCAAGAGTGTTACTCCTTTTTCCAATGTGGCCTCTTTCTGTAGGGCGGTGGGGGTAGAATGTCCTGCTTCTAAGTGGGGGGAAGGTTTTAGGAAAAATAGATAAATCATATTTACAGGAGACAAGGGAGGCTGGGAGGCTGGAGGCCCCAGCTGGAAGTCAGCAAAATAAATTCTATTCTATTCTATTCTATTCTATTCTATTCTATTCTATTCTATTCTATTCCGAAACAAGCACATTTAGATGGCAAATTCTGGGAGTCAAAATCCACAGATTGCCAAGGCTGGAAATCCTTGGTCTTACAGCTTGGCTTGGAGAACTGCTGCTAGTTGAGCTGTTGTGAAAAGAGCCAAAGCAAGATGAGATGCTGAGATGAACGCCTCGGCCTTTGATACCCCCAAACTGGGAGTCAGGGCACATTTTATGCCACCAGGAACCCAACCAGAGCACCCAACCTCGGCATTGTGCCGTGGGCCCCCTGGTTCTCCTTTGGGGTTCTTCAGATGATTGGTGGAACGTTAGACGGCTGGGAAACTGACCCTGCAGAATCCCAGCCGCTCAGCTTGAGTGAGCACAGAGGGATAAATATAGCCAAAACTGACTCCCTGAACTTTCAAGAGCAATCAAAGGAAGTCTCCACGGTCCCCTCCACCCGCCCATGACTGACAGGAACACGTTTGCTCATACAGTCTTCGCTCTCCATTCCAACCCAACAGTGTTATAACGGTCTAAAATCTGGTCTCAGGCTTCCCTAGACAGAATCCGTTTGGGTCCATTTTGTTAAGAGAGCTTCTTCTCCAGCAGATTAGCGTACCTCAAAGGTCTCGGATGGAAAGACACCCAAACTCTTATTCAACATTGAGTTGTATGACGTCAATTGCCAGAGGAAAGCAATCCCTTTCTTGACGGCTGGCCAACACATTTCTCCTCCTGGGCAACGTTGAAAGAGCAACAGTTGTCACCTGGCACTGGCAGCAAAGAAGCCCCCAAGTTTCAACTGTCAGTTTTGGGGTTTCCCCCCCTCTGCCCCCTGCAGGCTCCTGGATCCGTTTTCTATATGTGAGGCTGGATGATGTTCAAGAAGAAGCTTGGCTGAACGTTCTGGAGCCGATAGACCTAGTGGGAAGTGGTTTAGTTCTTTAACTCTGGAGCGGGCTTCTTATACTAATTCTATTCCCCCTTCTATATTTTTGGGGTTTTTTGTTTCGTTGTGACAAAGCCATGGCTGCAAAAGGCACCTTTGGAGCTTCCAACGATCCCCGCATGAATCAACTCCAAACCCCGGTAAGTTGACCTTACTGGGTTAAAGAAAGTTGATTCTCTTCTGGTGTCCCCACATTGCTAAACTTAATAGTTTGAGACCTGTGCAAAAACGGCACTTACCAGCTTTAGCTGTGCTTAGCAGATGCCCCTGGTTTGGGAGATTTAGAAGAAGAAAGGAAAATAGGATGGGTTGGAGGTAATTAGACAGATGGAGTTGTGGTTTGTTGAAGAACAGTAAAGCTGGAGTTGATCGTTGTTGTTTTCAATGGGGAATAATGAAACCAGGGTCCAAAATATGGCCGGTTTCATTGAGGCGTATAATTAACTGAGCCTTCACGAACTAAGAAGACAATTTGAACACGATTTCACTCAAGTGTTCTTCCCCGGAAGAGTCTGTGCCACCCAAGTATTCTTGGCACCTCAGCTTGCTTTAATGAACCCCAAAAGACTCTCTCATTCTCTAGATTCAGGCATCACATTAAATTGCAGTTTGTTTAACTGTATGATTAGATCAAACATAATTGCTGTGGCGTGCACAACATGTTAAGACATAAACCATGGTTTGCAAACCAGAAGGGTTAACCCTTCCTTCCTTGGCCAGATTTGAAGGAAATTTAATTGCAGGAACCAGTCTCCCAAATTGCAATCTCCACTCTTGGTGGGCTGACAGGATGGGTAAAATTAAATTGATTTTGGCAGCCATCTTAATCTCCACGTACCTCGTAGTCTACTTTCCTGAATATATATATATATCGCAGAACGTAGATCTGAACAGCCTAGCGATGTGCGATGAAGCAGCTTGTATGCTGCGAGTCCCTTCATTGTAGCTTGTGGACTGTGTAAGCATTTTGCAAGGAGGAGAAAACCGGCGTACAGGTTGACGGACGCTAAGCGAGACAGCTAAGCTAATTTTGCCTCATCTTATGACCTTTGTTGCCATAGTAGTTAGTGAATCCCTTGCAGTTGTTAAATGAGCAACGTGGTCATTAAGTCAACCTGGCTTCCCCCGATTGACTTTGCTTGTCGGATGGTCGCAAAAGGGGATCACACGACCCCGGGACATGGCAACCACCGTAAATATGAGCCAGTTGCCAAATATCTGCATTTTGATCACGTGACCCTGGGAAGGCTGCAACAGTCGAAAGGGACAAACGGTTATACGTCACTTTTTTTCAGTCCCGTTGTAACTTCAAATGGCCGCTAAACAAACTGTCGTAAGTCGAGGACTACCTATATTCTTCTAATCATCTCCACCATCATCCCTGCATGTGTGCTTAGCCCTGGTGAGCTCTGCTCAAAATTATGCTCCTTTGGTGAGGACAGACGATGCCTGTGGCCATCAGCATCCATTTCCGGGATGGAGGAGGAGGAAGGGCGATGAAGTGGCTCCTTAAGGAGGGGGTGTCGTTGCAGTTAATCTTTTGAAAAGGCAGCTTCACTCTGCCCTGATCAACGGCAAAAGGGCTTGTGGCTTTGTCTTCAGGGTATGCTCCTCTTTAAATACTACTTGGCCTACGAAATCCTTAGTGCTCTCCGAGCTTGTTTGTTTTCTTGCAGACGTTTTGTTATCCAACTAGCTAACATCATCAATGCTAGAAGGGAGTGGGATTTGCAGAGAGGAGGAGGAGGAGGAGGAGGAGGAGGAGAATGGTTGGGTCCTTGGTGCTCTCTGAGCTTGTTTGTTTTCTTGCAGATGTTTTGTTACCCAGCTAGGTAAAATCATCAGTGCTAGGACTAGTGTGTGGTCCTTGGTGCTCTCTGAACTTGTTTGTTTTCTTGCAGACGTTTCATTACCCAGCTAGGTAAAATCACCAGTGCTAGAAGGGAGTGGGGTTTGCGGGGAAGGGGAGGAAGAGGAAGAAGAGTCCTCAGAGAGCATGGAGGACCCCACAGTCTTTTTCCTCCTCTTCCTCCTCTTCCTCCCCCTCCCCATTCAGAGAGGGCTGGAAATAACAAAAAATAAAGAATGAAAAAAGCTGCTCCGTTAAGTGCTTTGATTGAAGGATCCAATTATTTCGCCCCAAACACTTATGTAGGCCTTCATTATCTGGGTATTCTGTGACTTATTGAGTTGCCCAGACCTTCTGACTCTTTCTCTCTCTCTTTAAAAACTTCTTCTCACTTTGAAAAGATTTGACAAGGACCAATGATGACACAACGGAAACTTTTCCACCGACTCCAGGAGAGAGGAAAGCCACCGGTGCTTATTTTTGACAAATGGAATATTTTACGGGGAAGGAATGATGGACGGGGGGGGGGGGGGAAGAAAGAAACGAAAACAACAAGCAAAGTAGGCCAGAACATTGTGCTCATGGTGTGTGTGTGTGGTTTGCTTTGTCATCATTCCAGGGAAATAAGGATGAAGAGAGACATCAGCTGGATGCAGAAGTGGAACCAAACAAAGAAGGAAAGATGGGCAAAGAAACGTGGGCAGAAAGGATCAAGAAAATGAAAACTTTCATTTGGAATCCAGAGACCCGGGAATGCTTGGGCCGGACAGCTAGGAGCTGGAGTAAGTGAAATTTACCATTAGTCACTTATTTCCCGTTAAGATAAGGATGAATGTTGCATCAATACTGCGTCAGTGTGCATGTTTTTTTTTTTTAATAGAGTGGATGAGAAACCTAACATTTTACAG